CGAAGCAAACAGGTCGCTCTTAAAAGGTAAGAGGCTAAATGTGCTGCTAACTTTTTCTTGATTCAGTTCTTTTGAATGGGTTGAAAGACAATAGTGCTAATATATAAAAAAGTAATTATGGCTGGTGGATCAACTCCATTGGTGATGTAGAAGAGAGTACGCTGACCACCATCAAGCGACAACAGAATCCAGCTAGCAACCTCTTTTGCATGCAAGGTACAATGCAGCAAATTAAATATTTTCTTCTACAACTGATCGTCACTCCCATCCACACAAAGAAGCTCATTGTATGACTTGACAATGAAGCAGAAGCAGGCAAATAGGATACATTGGCCACTTGAGTTTCAGTTCTTGAATTAATTAGAATGCTTGTACCCATGTTAGCTTTTAAAGAAAAGGTGAATAATCCCTTTGTCATGCACTGCAACCTGTAGCAGGCATATTTGGTTCCAGAAGCCTGTGTAATGGGCTGGCATTTTTAAAGGAGCCTGGAAGTTAGATGCCCATATGCTATTGTAAGCCAAATGGGAGCTGGGCACCAAGCATCTTCAGGCTTCTTGAAAATCCCAGACTGTGCTAAATACTAGTTAGTAATTATACTGTGGAAGCTTTAGATGAGTTTTGAACTCTGTCTCTGATGCCCCACTGCTGAGTTCACACAACTGCCATTGACTTCACTGGGAGTCCAGAGTGCTCAACTTCTCTGAAAATCAGGACACTTTAATTCATATGCCAAAATATGGCCATAGGTGCCAGATCCTCACTTGGTGTTAAGTGGCATCATTGAAGTCAATGGAAGTGATTTGTCCTGGTCACAGTTGCAAGACCTCAGCCATATGTAGCATAACCCAACAGGGGTTTATGTAGCTATTACCCTGTCAGACAAGGCATCACCTGCCAGTCTTACCTCACAGGCAGAAGCAAGGCACTGGTAGCAAATAGTGGTCTCACATCAGGGCTACCTTCCCTCAGGGAGGCTCTGGCAAGCAGCAGCCTCTGATGCAAGTTTCTGGTAGCAAGTCACACCAGTAGTCTCACAGCAGGCCTACCTTTCCTCAGGGAGACTTGGGCAGGCAGCAGCCTTTCAAGGACATCAAGGGGAGGCCCACATTCCCTCAGGGAGGATCTAACAGGCAGCAGAATCTCAAGCTCTCACCTGAACATTGCTCTCCCCTTTTAAGCCCCCCCCCTCCAAGCCTGACACCTACTGCAGGTGCAGCAGGGTGGGCAGACTGAGACCACAGCACCTCATTAACCCATTCCTGGCCAGTGTGAGGTTTGTATACCCCATCACAGGATGTATGCTGAGTTGCACCAACTGAGGATCTGGCCTAAGGTGCTGAACTTGGACACCCCAGTTGGAAAATGCTGGCCTTTGTCTTTGAGGTTTTAGGGGTAAGGATGTTGGCAGGAATCGGAGACACCAGAGAACAAGCAAGCACATGATTTTAAAACAAAAATTACAACTGATCACAAAATTTTTTCGCTGCTCATCGCTGATGGTACTGTCCTGAATATCCCTGAGATTATAAGGGAAACTTGAAAACAAGACAATGTAACAATAGCAAGTTATTGGTAAAGGAAAAGAAAGAAAAAGGCAGAAAACATTCTCCCTGGTCTATGCCTTCTTCTCTGCAGTTTGCCATCTTACTCTTTTGCAATTCTCTCTGCCTGTAATATGATGTCTGAGTGTTAGATTCACCACTCAGTTACACATGTGGAATAAGTTCACCAAAGACAGTGGAGTTACTCTGTGCTTACTTACCGCAATGCAAATTCTGAATTTGTCCCTGAAACTGTATGCTCTTTAGGGCAAGGGTCTTAGGTATTTGTAAAGCACTGTACAGTAAGATTACATGAATTATAATAATGCCTCAAGATCTGCTGCTGAAGGCTGTACTCTATGGCCAACTTAAGAACCACCTGCGATGCAGAGGAAGGCCAAAGTTCTGGTACACCAACATGGTCAAGCAAGACCTCAAGAAATTCAGCATTCCCACTGACAACCAGGAAAATCCTGTCTACAATCGCTCAGTTTGGAGAAGCCAGGTTAAGGCTGGTGCAGTCACTGCAGAGAGCCTTCAGAGAGCCCAGGCTGAGGCTCACAGGCGAGCCAGGAAGCAGAGTGTGCTTCAACCTCCATCTGGCAAGTGGACCTGTAGCCACAGCGGGAAGGTTTGCCACTCGCTCATCAGGCTCTTTTTCCATACCATGGCTAAGCACCACTGGTGGATCAACTTTGTTGCATCTTGTTTCATCTCTCAAGATGCTGGACAGGCAATAATAATATTTTAGATGATACTGTTTTATTATCTTATGCCAAAAGGATAAAATTCTCTTACCGTCAGAAGGTTTGTCACAGATATACCAAGAGACTCTAAGACAGTCAGATGGCTGATAAAATAAAAATTAAGTTGTGTAGACAGTAGGATGTCTGGAGTTGCTGTTAGAGAATTATTATTAAACTAACTGCTAAAGAAAAAGAAGGAATGAGATTCACTCATTTGAAATCCAATACATTGGAATGCAAGCATTCTATGAAATTCAGTGGCCCAGTGTATGAAATCTAAGCATGACTCTTGATATAGAATTGCAGATGGACATTCAGGATAACTAAAACAAACATTTAAATTCACTTGCCCTTATTCTGTGCAGAAGGGCCATAATTCAACAGTCCATTCCGACTCAGCAAAGCACATTCCTAATCTCAGGCACATATTTAAGTGGGACTTAAGCCTGAGTTTAGAGACATGCTAAGGTGTTTTGCTTCAGAAGGTTGGACTGAAACATGTACTTAAATGGTTGGCTGAGTGGGGCCCATTGTAGGCAACAAGAATTTCACCTGAAGATAGTGTGTGTATGGTCCTCTGTTAGCAAATGTTCCGCATACCACTAGGATGACACCTCCTCCTGGTCATTCTGCAGAATATCTCACACAGTCAACACTCCTTCACAGGATTCCACACCATCTCTTTGCCTCTGTCAGTCTGCAACCCCCACCCCTTGCTCCACAAGCTGCTGCTGCTGCCTCTTCATGACTCAGCCCTCCAGCCAGGTCACTGTACATATTTTCCCCTTCCAGGGTATTAAAGGTTTCCTTCTGCAATCCTAAACAGTCTTCCCATTCACTGACACATAGTGCTTCTCCTTCAGTGGCTGACAGGGGAACCCAGCCTCACCCTCCACTCTGGGTTATGGCTCAGGGACCCTCTAGCCAGCAGAAGGTCGGTTCCCCCTCTACCTTACTGCTTTTCCCCAAGCCTTTTCCTTACCATCTAGCACTCCCTGCCCCCACCCCAGGTTCACCAGCTTCATGACTCCCTCCTCCCAGGAGGGAACTGCAATCTACTGATCTCTGCAGCCTCTAAAATCTTCTTCCTTTTCCTAGGGAGTGACTGCAGTCTATTTCCTAACTACCCCAACTCTGCTACCAGTTTCCTGTCCTTATAGTCCCAGCCCAGTTCGTTCCCCCTCAGCTGGGCTCCCTCAGTCAGTCAGGGGATTACTTAGCCACCTAATTCCCCTCAACTGTGGCTTGTTGGGTTTATTAAACCATTTCTCACTCTGCATTAACCCCTTCTAGGCAACTGGGGTGTAAACACCCCATCACACCCTCTGAGAGTGCAGCCTTTGGCCCAGTTACTATACGTAGGCCAAATTTTTTAAGAATTAGCCACTGATTTGGAGTGTCTCCATTCTGGGGTGCATGCTCAACCGGATACAGCTTGAGCCTGATTTTCAGAGATGCTAAACACCAATAGTTCCCATTGACTTCAGCTGGAGTTATGGATGCTCAGCCTCACTGCAAATCAGACCCCAGGTGTCTGAAATTGGGCTCCCAAAACTTGAACAATCCAAAATCAGTGGATACTTTGGAAAAATTTTCACTGTAGTGTCTTCATGAAAGATCCAAGATCAAGCATTTACTGTACCTAACGAAATACATAGCTCTTGTCACTCAAATATTTCTTTTAAAAACAATTTAACTCTCTCCGTCCTAAAGGCTCCCAAACAGTTGACTACTAATTTTGAAATATCAATAGTTTGTTATGAATAAGGGTCAATTTTCTACCAGGGCAGATATATAGCAGTATGTAAATCAGCTATTTATCACATTAACAGTTCAAAAAAACCCAAAAAGCCCAAGTGTCCACAGATTGTTACTATTAAGGCCTGACACAAGATCAAGAAAAGCAAGGAAACAAAATGCAGCTTAGAAATCAGTCTTTATCACACTGTTGCTCCTTCTGTATGATCCTCTGCCATTCCTGTTCTTTCTAAATAATGCCATGCTCTGCCATCAGTGTGAATGATCTTTAAGATCATATAATTATGTATTTAAGCTTGCTTCTAATGGCATCTTCTTTATGACTGGTCAACTGCAATTGCTTGAGAGGAGCTGATGGAAGTTCAATGGTTAAATATTGTCACAGGGTGACTGGCCCCTTTAATAGGAGTCAGGGCCCACTCTGCCCCTGACAAACACATTTTTAACTGAGAGTCTTTTTTTACATCTTTAAGTATTTTTGAAAAACATCTTTCAGGCATGCCATATCAGTCTAAAAGCCAAATAACTAAAATACTATTAAATAATAGAGATAAATTAATAGCTACAGCTTTTTAAAAATCTGTTTTTAATGTTTTTGTTTATAACTATGAGCCACAGGATATTTGACTGAGCTATTGATTGGCCATGCCCTTTGCTTCCTGGATGTTTGCAGTGCCATGCACTGTAGCCTACTTGGTCTTAAAATGTAGGACTACTGCACTAATTCACTACATTTAATGGAGTTGACATATGGCTTGATTTTTAGTCTAACCTTTATTGTTTTATTTCACAGGGGCACTTTGCAAATCACCATAAGCAAAACTGCAGGCCTTTAGTTCTAAGTGCATCTCCTTATCAGAACACATGGCACGGCATTATATTGCATACTAATGAGTTGGAGCACTGACTGATAACATACATGCATAGTTAAATAAAATGTTACAACATGAAATAACAGCAAATCCATTTATTCTTGGTAAAGAATGTCACAACAGGAAAAAGATTTACTCTCTGCTACATGCGGTCATAGAGATCTAAATAGCTGGAATAGTATAACCATTAAGAGCTATTTTCCTGATAACTATCTATTCCTTTATACACCATCTTTCTATTTTCCTCTGTTATATTAATGGAACTTGACAGTGCTTGGCTTACATTTTTACATTTGGTATTCATTGAGTTTGAAGCAAAACTTCCATCCTTTATTGTTTCACATTTTCTCATAAATTGTGACAATACAACAAAATGATATTTTTAATAAGTGCCTGTCATTAGGCTCGCAAAGTGTTTGCTTAAATAATTTATATTTATGCCTAATGGGATGGAAGCTTGAGTCTTTTCAATCTGTGAACTGAACCATTAATGGTTGAGTTGATTCAAGGGAAAATATACATTCTCCATGGTTGGAGCTCTCCAGAATGCCATTTATTTGAATGAGTAGCTGGTGAGTTCTCATTTCATGAGGCTGGATATATCCACAGGTCTCAGGATAAAATGGGCATTATAAAAGGACACATCTGATTGTCTAGCAAGGTTTTAACTATGCAAGTATGTTGTAGGTAAGGTAAGGTATGGTAAGGTAAGGACTTAGTTGATTTAGACTCCCCCAATCATAATAATGCTTCTGAAATGATTGGAAAAGGTTTTCCTAAAATGTTTTCATTTAAATTTATTTTCAAAGCTGAACACTGCAGACTTTAGGAGCCTACTTTTTAGGAGCCTATTGCTTCCTAAAGTCTGTAATGTTAGAAAAATGGCACTGGGAGATTTTAGTTTGCTGTTCCAACAGAAATCTATGAGTTGTAATGATTCACCAGCTGCCTCCTTCTATTCCTAGTCACACAGAAACGAACACTCAAATATCATTTCTGTAAGCCTACCAGCTGTATATAAGGCAACACACAGTAGAACTTTAAGCCTTTCCACCTAGCTTAAATTTAGAACGCTAACATTTAAAGGCTCAATTTTCCCCTGTGCACGAGAACTACTGGTGCAGTAGTGAGTGGATGGGGGACACTTTATGGAGCCAGTTACATCTTCCTGACCCTGAGCTGGTTTGGTGCTAACATAAGAACAGCCTACGGTGTGCTCTAAATTGAATAACTAGTATATGGTTCCTAATGAGCTGTATGTCAGTGGAGGATTGATATAGCAGAATTGCCCTCCACCGTGTCCCTGTCCAGCCCCTGGCTCCCCTGCCCTGCCCTTCCTTGCCATGACCCTAAATCTCCATCAGACTTACACCAGCCAAGAGTTCCCCTTTTCAAAGAAAATTGTCCATGGACAATTTACTGTGAGACTGTATAAGGGCCTGATGCTCCCTTGCCTGGTACCTGGGGTTGTTCTTTACCGCCTTTGCAAAACAGATGTTAAATGTTGCTATTCTGATGCAAGGGAGTGGAAAAATCAAGATCTCTATGCTCGTGTGTCACTTCATTATAAAGCTGGTACATGTGACACACAAGCTTCTGTTAGTGATCACAGGCAGACAGAATGCTTTTATATTTCAGACCCACAGGGACTGATCTGCTGTCACTGAAGTCAATGGCAAAACTCTCTTTGCCTTGAATGGTGAAAGATCAGGCCCACAGTATCATCTTGTGCATTGCCAGAGAAATCCTTTGTAAACTCTCTGTATACAACAAAATATATATTATCTTCTCTCTCCTGCTGCCCCTCTCTCAGGGATCAGGCCACTCATCCTTTGTAACTCTAATTACATTTCATATTTCCCAACCAAACGAATCCATAACCTGCCTTTGTCTTTTCTTCAAAAATGTTAAGACCACACACTCTGGGCTCTGCTAACATACTGTATTATGCTATTATTAGACAAATGTAATTTTAACATCACATCACATACATGTTGCAGCTGTAATTGGAACATGCCTTTTAAAAATACTTTATTGGATGAAATTGTCTCTTTCTCAAGAAAAATCTGGTGCTTTAATATATTTTATTATGCCTTTTAAAATTCTGTCTGTTTGATAAAAGCTTTGATATATTATAAATACCTGTAAAGAAAATATAATTTAAAATTCTGAGAGAAAACATTTTAGTCTTTTTTTTTCCTTTTACATTTTCACAAAACCTACACAGGCACCAAGAAAAGACTAACAAAAATAATTTACGTCTGTACAATATACTCTGGGTTGGAAAGATTCAAGAGACAGATTTTCAGCAGGTTAGTTTTAAAGCTGGTCTCTGATGAAACTTTGGCTACAGCATGAGGACTGGACTTAAACAAAGGAAGAGTCATGTCTATTCCACATGGTTAACACGAGCACTGCATTCACGGACTGGCCATTGTTGCTGCTGCTGCTACCAAAGGTAAGCAGTAATCATTTTCACTGACAGCGAGGACTAGTGGTTACTGCTGTTCATTGAAGAAAGCAGCCTCTAAAAATCTTGACACAACAATAGAGCTGGACTGATACAACAAGAGCTAGGTGAAATTTTGCACCTGAAATTTTGTCTGGCAAAAAATGCAGATTTGGTGACACCAAAACATTTAGCAAATTTGTGTCCATTTTATCTTAACTGTTCATATATAAAAAAAGAAAATTTCTGAAAATGTCATTTGGACATTTTTTAAATGAAACATTTTGATTTTCGATTTGAAGCGCCTTTTTGATTTGAAATTTCCTTCACTTTTTTTTAAAAAACAAAACTACTTGAAATTGAAATGAAACATTTCCTTTTGAGTCAAACAAAATGTCTGACCCAAAACAATTTTTTCACTTTTGGATTTAATGAATTTTTGAAAGATTTTGGTTTGAGGCCAACCGGAAAATAAAATTAAAACATTTTTGGAATTGCCAGTGCATCAGAAAATCAGTTATTCATTCAGCTGTACACACATCCTAACAGTGTTGTGTTCTTGACAGGGTAGCTCCCAGTTCTGAAAATTAAAATGTGAGTGGAAATTGTCCTGCACTTCCTCCTGCCCAGTGCTACCTCTCAAATTAGTCAAGGCCAGTCGTCTCTGAACTGCCTGTCTCTCTAAATGCTAGTAGAATTAAGGAACATCATGAGAATGCTTTTTGGTTTGGACCATTTCAATATTTTGACTGCTTTCCATGCTAAAGAAAATGTTACAAATTAGCACAGAGAGAAGAGGAGATTTAGTAACAAGAGACAAATCAAACAGGAAGTCACAACCTTGAGAAGTGGGTAGAATATGATTCTCCTTTCACTCATGCTGGTGTAAATCAGGAGAAATTCCTTACATCAATTGAGTTGCATTAGTGTAAAGCTGGCTTCATGCAGAATTAGGCCCTAGAAATGTATACTACTACTGGAATGAATGAGAAATCAGAGATTTTCAAAGTTGTTATAAAAGAAATCCTGCTATTTTTTATTGGTTAATTTAACAGTTGTTACTATGAGAGTAACCAGGTTTTGTTTTAAATAACAGAATTTCACAACAGCTTTGAAAGTCTGTGTCCAATTTGATGAAGTATTAGCAAAATGTTAAGCTCTTAGTTTGAGAGATACCAGCATCATTTATGAAATGGAGATACTGAAACAGTGACAAGTATTTCTAAAAGCTGTTTGGAAACTATAGATAGATAGATAGATGATGTAAAATCTAGTCAATATCTATTCAAGTATCTTTGGCATTGTAGAGAAACACTGCATTTTCCATTTCATTTAGAGACTTTGTATTCCCCTGCCCAGGGTTCCCTCAATTTTTTAGCAGGATATTCAGCTGTGTGCTATTTTTTGACCCTATGAGTAATAAATCATATACCCATCCGGGACACTGGAACAATTTGTATAGTGGGGGTGCTGAAAGCCACTGAACAAAACTGTAAACTCTGTATATGATGGAAGCCACTCCATACCCCTAGCTCCAGCACCCCTGTACCCATTTTGATTTCAATTAAAATAAATGTGTGAAACATTGCTACTCTGACATCCACCATCCCTCAGCCATTTTGTCCCAGATTATGTCTTCCTACATTAGATAAGGTGATCTGACCACTCCACTCAGCCAGTCCTCCCAGTTTGAATCAGATCTTCTGGATGCAGCACTTTATTTGACAAGAGCTGCTGGAACCATTCTGAGGGACTTCCCTCCATCTCTCTCTCCCTCCTCTCTTTTCTTTTCTGACTTCTGACCTTTCATTTTTCTCTTCCTTGTCTTTGACTGCTGCCTCCTCTTTACTCACATTCCATTTCATCCTTTTTTCCCCTCTTACCTATTCTTTCCTTCCTTTTTCAGGCCCATACGATTTCTTCCTATCTTGTTTTCCTCTCTCTCTCCATTTGCCCCTCACCTCTCCGAAAGATTTAAGAAATGTTGCAATCAGCCATTGGCATGCCCACATCCAGTGTTGCCGTGTTCTCTATGGATAGAAGTCCTTTCCCTAGGCCACAGTGAGATTAGGGAGAAGACAAGCTGGTCACAGGCTTTTGTGCAATATTTCCAACACTGTAGTTATTGATGCCAAGCTCTTTTACACCAGTGTGACTCTGGATTAGTGTAAATCAGGAGTAACTCCCTGGTGTGTCATAAGAATCAAGTCCAATACTTTCTTCCAGCCATGGATCATAAGGAATAGTTAAACTGAATTCTCTTGATTTATAACTGTCTGCAAAGCTCAAACCCATTGCAAGCTTCCTCTCTGCTCTAGAATTTGCACTGAGACAGAATTTGCAGCCAGCATTAAGTCTTATGAGAATACCAGGTATAAGAAGAACTGATATGCTCACTACAAGGGAAGATGGTATTCCCCCATTCCTTGACAGTTCGCGTAGCACTGGCAGTCCTGTTCAAAACCACGGCCTGCTAAAGGAATCAAGTGGAAAACAACAGGGAAAGGAAAAAGGGTTTGAAGTGGAGCTGTAGTGTTTTCAGAGGAATATAGTTGCATTTCATGCCAGAAGGAAGAAACTACCTCTTTTGGTGATAATGAAGACAAGATTTGAATAGAGCAGTGGTTCTCAAACTGTGGGTCGGGACCCCATTTTAATGGGGTCACCAGGCCTGGCGTTAGACTTGCTGGGACCAGGGGCTGAAGTCGAAGCCTGAGGGCTTCAGCCCTGGGTGGTGGGGCTTAGTTATAGGCTACCTGCCTGGGGCTGAAGTCCTTGGGCTTTGCCCGTGCCCCCCACCTGGGGCAGTGGGGCTCGGGCTTTGGCTTTCCCCACCCCCCACCCGCCCGGGGCAGTGGGGCTCGGATGGGCTAAGGCTTTGGTCCCCCCTCTTGGGGTCATGTAGTGATTTTTGTTGTTAGAAGGGGGTTGTGGTGCAGTGAAGTTTGAGAACCCCTGTAATAGAGCGATCACTTATACCCTTCAGCTTAGTGCCTCGCCATGAACAAATTACACTTCCTATCTGTTTCCCACCCTGCTTCACATCCTGGTTAAGTATGAAGCAATCAAAGTAGTAATCACATGAGTAAAGTGTAGAATATACTTCAGAAAAGGGCAGTGGGGGTGGGGAGCATGAATATTTCCAACTCAGTGCCATACCCTACATTTTAGTTGTCTTCATTCAGAATATCAACCAAGGCTTGCAGCAGTCTATCATCTCTATGTTTGTATGGTTTGGCATTGTAAAAAAGGTCAATGTAGTCACTGTACAGAGTGTCCTCAGAGTCTTTTAACTGGGAGGGTTTGTTTAATTTTTCAAGGGCTTGATAGAAATGTTCATATGGAATATTTAACTTTTCATTTGGAGTCTTCTTTGGTGCTCGATTCTGGGCCATGTGCCGGCTAAAAGCACTTTGCAATAGACGAAGCATTGCCTCTGACAGGATTTTGTCTCCCATTTTATCAGTGCTGCTGCTGGTACCTTCGGTGACCTTGGGTTTTGCACTCAGGTTCTCTTGTGTGGTAGGATCCTAAAATACAGAACAGTATCAAAAGTATTAGGTATCAATGAAATGCTGACTGAAGTAGGTCTTGTTATTAATAGGGATTTGTGTGTTTGAATAAATGCTATATTGATCATTTAGGAACCATTGGCACCAGGAAAAGGATTGCAAATATCTCGTGCAAAATGTTTAATATCCCAAATAAGTAACAGATCACAAAAGTATTAATTTGGACTCTACTAGCCAGTTACCCATTCTGTGTATCTAGCTACCATCCTACATTATATAGTGATCCCTGCAGATCTTAAAAGGTAAATATAATTGGATTGGGTACGAACTTGGAAAGAACACCTCTCAGGAAGTGGTGCATGAAGTGGTGACTTAGTAGGTGGCATTTTCACCTCTCAAACAGGACTATACCAATACGCCAAAATAATGAATACATTTCTGCTGGGGGTGCTGTTTCAGATGAGACATGAAAATGATGTCCAGATACATTCTGCCCACCATTCCCCCTGCAGTGTCAGCTGACTACAGTTTTACTTCTCTTCCTGTTATACACTGTTGTGGACTGTTGCTGTGCACACAACTACTTCAGTGGCTGATGAATTGATATCTAAATATATCCTAATGATATACCTACCTACTTATTAGGGCTGATGTGAGACTATGTAGTTAATGCCTGTGAATGCTATGAAAAACTTTCAGATAAGCAGGTATTGTAAAAGTGCAAAGCAGTATAATCATACTATCTGGCACCAACTCCCACACACAGAGGCTTGAAACATTATTTTTCAAAAATAATTAGCAGTTCACCTCCAAGCAAAGAAAGAGGAGAAAAAGGAACCAAAGGCAACAGCTCTAGTTACCAGAAAAACATTCAGGATCAGAGGTTCCCTAAACTATATAGAACCATTTGTAGTGTGCTTCATTCCAAAACTCACAGCAGGCATCAGAGCTGGCATGCTCTTTTAGGGCCTGATCCTACTCGCACTGGAATCATTATAAGTGATTAGACCCTAAAACGCAGTTTGATTGTCCCCCCCACCCCGCCACTATTCACCTTCTTTACAGACTGAGTGGATAGTTCATTTTGAGAACTGATAACATAAAATGATCACGAGGTCTCTCATATCATGTCATATCAAACCACAAGATAAATTAAACAGTCCATTGTTGGTACATATCACATCACAATACTCAGCTCACAAAAGAACAAGGGCTGGGTGAAATGAATAGAGAGATAGGCACATTCATAAAAGCAAACCACCATTTTTCTAAATTGTTTTAAGAATTAAAAGTAAAATATGTAGGAAACACCACAAAGTGACTGATACCTCTACAAAGTCTGCCATCTTCTCCACTCCTCTTCTGTCATTTTGCACTGCATTGTAGGATGTGTATACACGAGGCTGCTTCATGTGTTCAGGTTGAGTAGAAGTGCCATGCAAAATCAATTTCCAATTCACAATTCTCCCTTCATTCTGCATTCTCCTAGACTAAAGGACAAGCATGAGTATTGTATTAGCATAGACTCAGGGAATGAGAGAGAAGAAGAGAGAGGACAGCAGATGTCAACAAAGACAGGAGTCACACAAATGGTTTATAGTACTTTTTAAATGTAAATTTAGATGCTGATTTACAAGCACTGAAAGATACCGTCAATATGATACATAATGTATGATGCATAGTGGAAGGTAAGAATGAGTCCAGTGATTCTAAACTATCCCAAATATGCCAAAAGTACATGTATGTTTTTAATATGTATCATTATCATTAGTTTAGTCATTACAGGTGGAAATATAGTACAGAATGTCAAAAATTACTAAACCAGATATTTCATAATGTTAGTACTTGTTCTGAGTCACTGGACAGTGATTTCTGCACTGTGATTTTCAATAATGTTGTACAGTAGTAACACTGCTCACTACTGCAAGCAATAGGTTTTGGGACCGGGACTATGTAATACAGTAATTTTAAAATCTGATAAGGGAAAAGTCAAGTATGGAATTCTCTGGAAAATGTTTTCAACAAACATCATCTTTGGAGTTCTTGCTCAACTGTCTACCTGAACTAAGACAGCTGCTGAAGATCCATCCATTCTAATAAAACCCTACCTTACTAGCCTTGAGATTTAAAGGCAACGAACACTATTTAAAATTAGCAGTAAATCTAAGTGAGGATCTCATTGGGTAGCTATAATTACAAGTATGCTTCAGTAGTGTGAGAAACTGTTTCTGGAATAACAAAGAGTGCCAGAAGCTGAAGAAATGGTTTTCAGGGAGGGGAAAGCGGGGTTTATATGAGAGTTCAGGTACCTCGTATTTGAAGATGGAACATGACTATCCATCTAACTAAAAACAAAATGCTCTTCTTATATACATTCCAAGAAATGTTTCGCCTTGTTACAATGAGCTATTGATTAGGGCACCTCTAACCATGGGATTATCTGACAATCCTACAAGTCCTACACGTAGTATTAACACTACTCCCGGTGTAGAATAATGTTTGTTTCTGCTGCCTTCTTCACCTGCTATGTGCTTGGCATTACCCTGCTACTTACAAGTTCCTCTCATTCCACAATGCACCATTTATTTTCCTACATGGTGATCCTCCAATTAAAGATGTCCCACGGAGAAAAACAGAATCAGTGTTCCTTTTCCAGGACTAAGGTGTAAAGGATAGATCCTGAAAGGTGCTGAGCACCTTCAATTCCCACTGATTTCTATAGAGACCATAGAGACCAAAGTGGTTGGATACTCATATGTCTCATAGGAGGCACTCAGCACCTGATAGGATCTGCCCTTAGTGACAAGCTTATTACCAAACTACTTCAGTGCAATTCTTGATAGATGAGTGAGCTTGGATTGATTGCTCTCCCTTTGAAGAGAATGATTTCTCAGTCATCTACCAAGCAGCTTTCTCCTCAAACCTCTCACTGTTGTAATCTATATTCCCATATGGTTTAGTAAACATGTATTATATATCTCTAGATTTCTTAGCTATAATCCTTGTGGATCATTCATTACTTTGAGAATCAATATAGGGGAAGATATACATTAGAATTGTTCTCTGAGGTCAACAGGAATTAATAGACTCACAAGTTTTTGAGTCTATGAAAATTATGCACATGTACCAAGAAGAGACTAGACCTCTCCTTGTGCTTTACTCCCCAGGAAACAAATTTGCAAATAAGCCACTACACATTCCACTCCAAAATCACATAAAAATTGCATTAAATGTTTATTCTTCAGCCATATGAGGAGTATATACAGCATGATAAATTATTAAAATCTAAATTCTGCTGATAGTTGCACTTCCATGAAGAAAAGGAGTACTTGTGGCACCTTAGAGACTAACACATTTATTTGAACATAAGCTTTCGTGAGCTACAGCTCACTTCATCGGATGCATTCAGTGGAAAATACAGTGGGGAGATTTATATACACTGAGAACATGAAACAGTGGGTGTTACCATACACACTGTAACGAGAGTGATCACTTAAGGTGAGCTATTACCATCAGGAGAGCGGGGGGGAAAAAACCTTTTGTAGTGATAATCAAGGTGGGCCATTTCCAGCAGTTGACAAGAACGTCTGAGAAACAGTGGGGGATGGGGAATGGAATAAACATGGGGAAATAGTTTTACTTTGTGTAATGACCCATCCACTCCCAGTCTCTATTCAAGCCTAAGTTAATTGTATCCAGTTTGCAAATTAATTCCAATTCAACAGTCTCTCGTTGGAGTCTGGTTTTGAAGTTTTTTTGTTGGAGGATGGCAACTTTCATTTCTGTAAACGCGTGACAAGAGAGATTGAAGTGTTCTCCGACTGGTTTATGAATGTTATAGTTCTTGACGTCTGATTTGTGTCCATTTATTCTTTTACGTAGAGACTGTCCGGTTTCACCAATGTACATGGCAGAGGGGCATTGCTGGCACATGATGGCATATATCACTTTGGTAGATGTGCAGGTGAACGAGCCTCTGATAGTACGGCTGATGTGATTAGGCCCTGCGATGGTGTCCCCTGAATAGATATGTGGACACAGTTGTCAATGGGCTTTGTTGCAAGGATAGGTTCCTGGGTTAGTGGTTCCGTTGTGTGGTGTGTGGTTGCTGGTGAGTATTTGCTTCAGGTTGGGGGGCTGTCTGTAAGCAAGGACTGGCCTGTCTCCCAAGATCTGTGAGAGTGATGGGTCATCCTTCAGGATAGGTTGTAGATCCTTGATGATACGTTGGAGAGGTTTTAGTTGGGGGCTGATCCCACTGAGGGTTACCAAAAGAAACTACATCATTTGCTCAAGAAACTCCCTGAAAAAGCACAAGAACAAATCCACACAAACACACCCCTGGAATCCCGACCTGGGGTATTCTATCTGCTACCAAGATCCATAAACCTGGAAATCCTGGACACCCCATCATCTCAGGCATTGGCACCCTGACAGCAGGATTGTCTGGCTATGTAGACTCCCTCCTCAGGCCCTACGCTACAAGCACTCCCAGCTTTCTTCGAGACACCACTGACTTCCTGAGGAAACTACAATCCATCGGTGATCTTCCTGATAACACCATCCTGGCCACTATGGATGTCGAAGTCCTCTACACCAACATTCCACACAAAGATGGACTACAAGCTGTCAGGAACAGTATCCCGGATAATGTCACGGCAAACCTGGTAGCTGAACTTTGTGACTTTGTCCTCACCCATAACTATTTCACATTTGGGAACAATGTATACCTTCAAATCAGCGGCACTGCTATGGGTACCCGCATGGCCCCACAGTATGCGAACATTTTTATGGCTGACTTAGAACAACGCTTCCTCAGCTCTCGTCCCCAAATACCCCTACTCTATTTGCGCTACATTGATGACATCTTCATCATCTGGACCCATGGAAAAGAAGCCCTTGAGGAATTCCACCATGATTTCAACAATTTCCATCCCACCATCAACCTCAGCCTGGTCCAGTCCACACAAGAGATCCACTTCCTGGACACTACGGTGCTAATAAGCGATGGTCACATAAACACCACCCTATACCGGAAACCTACTGACCACTATTCCTACCTACATGCCTCCAGCTTTCATCCAGACCACACCACACGATCCATTGTCTACAGCCAAGTTCTACAATACAACCGCATTTGCTCCAACCCCTCAGACAGAGACAAACACCTGCAAGATCTCTATCAAGCATTCTTACAACTACAATACCCACCTGCGGAAGTGAAGAAACAGATTGACAGAGCCAGAAGAGTACCCAGAAGTCACCTACTACAGGACAGGCCCAACAAAGAAAATAACAGAATGCCACTAGCCATCACCTTCAGCCCCCAACTAAAACCTCTCCAACGCATCATCAAGGATCTACAACCTATCCTGAAGGACGACCCATCACTCTCACAGATCTTGGGAGACAGGCCAGTCCTTGCTTACAGACAGCCCCCCAACCTGAAGCAAATACTCACCAGCAACCACACACCACACAACAGAACCACTAACCCAGGAACCTATCCTTGCAACAAAGCCCACAACTGTGTCCACATATCTATTCAGGGGACACCATCATAGGGCCTAATCACATCAGCCACACTATCAGAGGCACGTTCACCTGCACATCTACCAAAGTGATATATGCCATCATGTGCCAGCAATGCCCCTCTCCATGTACATTGGTGAAACCGGACAGTCTCTACGTAAAAGAATAAATGGACACAAATCAGACGTCAAGAACTATAACATTCATAAACCAGTCGGAGAACACTTCAATCTCTCTTGTCACGCGTTTACAGAAATGAAAGTTGCCATCCTCCAACAAAAAAACTTCAAAACCAGACTCCAACGAGAGACTGTTGAATTGGAATTAATTTGCAAACTGGATACAATTAACTTAGGCTTGAATAGAGACTGGGAGTGGATGGGTCATTACACAAAGTAAAACTATTTCCCCATGTTTATTCCATTCCCCATCCCCCACTGTTTCTCAGACGTTCTTGTCAACTGCTGGAAATGGCCCACCTTGATTATCACTACAAAAGGCTTTTTCCCCCCCGCTCTCCTGTTGGTAATAGCTCACCTTAAGTGATCACTCTCGTTACAGTGTGTATGGTAACACCCACTGTTTCATGTTCTCAGTGTATATAAATCTCCCCACTGTATTTTCCACTGAATGCATCCGATGAAGTGAGCTGTAGCTCATGAAAGCTTATGCTCAAATAAATGTGTTAGTCTCTAAGGTGCCACAAGTACGCCTTTTCTTTTTGCGAATACAGACTAACATGGCTGCTACTCAGAAACTTCCATGAAGTTATCCTGGTTTTACACAGCTGAATTTGGCCCAATCTTTTGAGTTTCTATCTGTTTAGCCTGTCCTTTTCCACTTTTATCCAAGTGCATGTTTTGTTTTGTTTTTAAATAAATTAGCTTTTCACTGAACTAACTCCAGCTGTTCTCTGTACTGGATGATGTTAGTGATCCACTGGTCTATGTCCCCAACTCATATACTTGGCTAATTAGCACGCATGCATACTTACCACATCAGTAATTCTCAAAGTCCAAGTGCCTTTTGGATTCTCTCCCCATGTGTGAACAGACATGAAGTCCCAGTTTTTAAAACCATTGGGAGACTTATCTCTCTCTCTTTCAGCCAGTAAGACAGTGTTGGTTCCTGTGTTAGTGCAACAAAGAAACATTAATGGAGTTAGTGAGGATCCATTGACTTTGTTGAACTACAGCTCCTGTAAATCCTCCCCTCGTATCTCCTCTCCATTCATCACCTTGTAGAGATTTTTGCCTATCATCAAGAACTGCCCACCTCGTTAAATAATACCCATGCTTGCTTTAAGACTGAATAGACCATTTGACTGTTGATCCAAGGCTCTCTTATCTTTCATACTATCAAACCGCCAATTGCACTCTACTATCACCTGGAGCAGTTACACTTGCTTTTGGTTTGATTATGGGATGGGACAATGTTACTTCTGGACATTAGCTGTTAAACCCCTTTCAAAGTAGTATTTACTACAGAGGGTTGCAGTTAATCCAGGAGATATAATGAAGTATCAGAATCACACCAGCAAGGATCTCACAGCCTAACAGACAGGAACATACACCCACAAGGGAAGAGCTTGTAGGAATTAGGAAGGGCATGTCATGCTTTCCTACCTTATGATGCAAAAAGAAAAGGAGTACTTGTGGCACCTTAGAGACTAACCAATTTATTTGAGCATGAGCTTTCGTGAGCTACAGCTCACTTCATCGGATGCATGAAGTGAGCTGTAGCTCACGAAAGCTCATGCTCAAATAAATTGGTTAGTCTCTAAGGTGCCACAAGTACTCCTTTTCTTTTTGCGAATACAGACTAACACGGCTGTTACTCTGAAACCTACCTTATGATGTCATTCAGTAATAAAAAACAGAACTGGGGAAAGCTTTCCCCACTTTAACCTCTGTGGGTCAAATTCTGCTCACAAAGTTTGCATGGGTGTAAATGAGAGCAAAATTTATCACTGTGTTTTCAGTGAGTGTGGGGCGTCTCTTAGGCCATGTCTACACTAATGGCACGACAGCAGTACAGCTGTGGTACTGCAGCCATACTTTCTGTAGTGCTGAAGTGCAGGCACCTCCTACAAAAACAGAAGGGGGTTTTCATCACTGTAGTTAGTCCACCTTTCCAAATGGCAGCAGCTAGGTTGACAGAATAATTCTTCTGTTGCCCTAGCCATGTCTAGCCCAGGAGTTACGTTGGCGGTATGAATTTTTCACAATCCTGAGCACTGTAGCTCTGCTGACCCAACTTTTAAGTGTAGACCAGCCTCATACTCAGGCCAAGTCTACAGTATGGGGACGTTAGTGGCACAGCTATGTTGCCGTAGCGATGCTGGTGTAACCCATTGTGCAGGCAGAGTCTACAGTGATGGAAGGGGTTTTTCTATTGCTGTAGGAACACCACTTCCCTGATCGATGGTAGCTAGGTTGAACGGAAGCACTCTTCCATCAACCTAGCTGAATCTGCACCGGGGTTAGGTTAGTGTAGACTGTAGCTATGCCATGCAGGAGGTGGTTTTTTTCATATCCTTGAGCAAAGTAGCTATGTGGACCTAAATTTTATGTATAGGTCAGGCCCGGGTTACATTGTAACACCATGGTGACGAGCTGTAACAGGGGGAAAGGCATTTTCACTATAGTATTGGCCTGAGTAAAAGCTACTACTTGCGTCTTGCTTCTAACACTCCTGCTAATACATCCCAGAATGATGTTTGCTTTTTTTGCAACAGTGTTACACTGTTGACTCATATTTAGCTTGTGATCCAGTATGACCCCGAGATCTCTTTCTGCAGTACTCCTTCCTAGGCAGTCATTTCCCATTTTGTATGTGTGCAACTGATTGTTCCTTCCTAAGTGGAGTATTTTGCATTTGTCCTTACTGAATTTCACCCTATTTATTTCAGACCATTTCTCCAGTTTGTCCAGATCATTTTGGATTTTAATCCCATCCTCCAAAGTACTTGCAACCCTGCCCAGCTTGGTATCTTCTAAAAACTTTATAAGTGTACTCTCTATGCCATTTATCTAAATCATTGATGAAGATATAGAACAAAACCAGACCCAGAACAGATTCCCACAGGACCCCACTTGATATGCCCTTCTAGGTTGACTATGAAACACTGATAACTATTCTCTGGGAACGTTTTTTCAACCTGTTATGCATCCACCTTATAGTAGCTCCATGTAGGTTGTATTTCCCTAGTTTCTATCTATCTATTCCCAGACAAAAACTAAACTAAGATGGAGTCAATGCTGAGAGTATGGCTCAGTAATTTAGAGTAAAATATGTTTCAGGGATGTTGCAATAAAAACAGACATTGTAAACCCAGGAAATTCAGAGTTAAGGTTATACTTGAAAGAAATCCAAACGAGTTAAGGGTGCAAATGCACAACCCAAAGAACCCTAACTCTGCCTTCTAGTGATACTGTGCCATAAGTATATGATTAGGATTAATGCAGTTTAGTGTTTGTGGTCTCAGATTAGATAACACTGATCTCAAAGACCATATTAAATTGCTACCCCCAACTCTGTGCCATTTCAGGGCGAAGTTAAGATTACTTGTTTTATATATATTTTAATGCAACCATCACTGTAATATCTAGGTGCCTGATACAAACATAATGCCTCCATTCAGGTGATGCAGTTGCTCACCCCCATCCCAGAGCTCCTTTGACTCACTGAGTCATTGTCTGGCCCCTACAAAGCATAAACTACAAGCTGGTGGCCTACAGAAACCCCCAAAATGGGCTACACACCCTCAGCACTGGAACACTGTACCCAGAAGTCTTGTCTCTGGAATAAGGGACATCAGAAAATGATGCCTCAAAACTAACCAATCACTGTTTCCAACCCTGCAATATCATTTTCATTTATGGTTGCTACCTCTGAGGTACAAAAAATGGGACTCTGGAGTGATTCTGAGGCTGTAAAAGTGGAGAGCTGGCAGTATCTACTGAGCATGCTTACAGAATTCTCAGGACAGCTACCTCACAAAAGGAACAATCCTCAGAAAACCTGGATGGGTGGCAAACCTACTTTCAGTTATCATTTTCAGTTACCATTTTGAGGTCTTTGCTTTCAAGAATAACTTAAAAGACACGGAGGTAGATAGTGGGGCATAGGCAGCCAAATTCCTGCCTTCACCACATGCTTCCTCCAGGAGTGGCAATGAAGATCTGGGCCTTTAAGGCTGAGCTTCCCAGACAGAGTCTGGGCAAGGTGCTTTGAAGTGCCTGCCGTTGTGCACAGCCAGTTGGAACTGGACATAGAAGAAAGCAGAGATTTTGCAAGCACCTGAAGCACTGAGAGATCCCTGAGCACCACACCCAGCATGCACCTTTTTGGAAGTAATTACTTTTCCTATAATGTATTCAGCTGTTTCTAACACAGGGAGATTAAGTGATTTTTATATAAAGATTAATAAAATCAATGTCTTATACTGCAACAGCAGAAACTAATCATTTCTTTGAACACATTTGTTTGCCTCTTGTACCTGATGGGGAAGTGAGGGTGACATGAAGATCACCTCTGCGGGAATATTCAATTGTTGCTTCAAACTGCACATGCTCCAGAGACGTGACAGAATTTTCTTGCCCTTCACAAGCTTTTGTGGGAATTTCAATGGTTACTTCTCCGTTTGCTCTTAATAACCTAGCAAAGATACAGGGATTATTTGGTTACCTACTAGCTTATTACACAAAGTCCAATGGATGCATTTTACACCTGTATCATGAACAATCAGACTGGGGGGAAGATGTACTGCACTCCTTGCTCATCCCAAACTGCCAGTGGAACCCTCGGGAGCTCTGAGTGCACACAAAATACAGAAATCAGCCAAACTGTTTAAACCGACTGGGCATGATTTCTTCCACACACTACGGAAGCAAGCAAGCGGGATAATCAATATGTTCTTTCAAGTCTTAATGTCTACATTGCTCTCCAAGAGACTCCTAAAAGACATTCTCTTAAAAAACCAGCATCACACGAGTGTATCAGATGTACATGTTGTTTGCCTCAGTAAAATCACCGGCAGGAATATTATTGTATAGTTACAATGGCTGGAAAAAGCTGCAGCGACTGTAGCCCTCTGAATCATTCCTAGAATAGAGCCTACACCTTCCCGACATTTTCAAAGCATTGTGCGTGGCTTTCTCTGTACAATTCTCATTAACTTTAATGAGAATCTGGTGCTTGAATCCCTCCCTACACAATGCATTAAAAATGTAGGAGCTAGCGAGCTTTGTTTTTGTAATGCAACATAAAAGGATTGCAGTAATGATACCTAACTAATAAGTTTCATGCACATCAGCTCTCTGTATTAAATTCAAAACACGAAGGAAAACAGAACAGATTGGGGAAAAAAGGCAAGAGAGTTTAAAAAAGCACTATAATAAAAACAACATAAATAAACAGGTTACCAAGAAGTAAAACACCACATAGCTGTAATATACTTTTACTTGGTGCACTTAGATGATGTGATTTAAAAATTTGTTATAACTATCTTTATTTCAGACAGCAAAGCCATAAATTAACCTGTGAAAACCAAAAATAAGAGAGTCTAAAGATCCTTATTGATTAAACAAGTTAATTAATGAGAGCGTCATTATGGCTTGCCTCTATTAATATTGAGTCTATGTGCTATATATAGGAAATATTTTCAGGTATGATATATGAGGTTTTATCAGAGTGCATTTGGGATGGTTGTGTACATAGGTACAGCAGGATGACTGTGAGTTATGCAGTTATCACGAGTGCTGCTGATACAACCTTTATATCACACTGTCATGTTTGGGATATATGTCACATATGTTACAGAAAAAAATATTTTAGGAACAATTAAGAAAAAACAAATTAAACTATATCAGGGTTATTTCTTGTATTTCTTCATCTTAACTGGTTGGATTTAGCATAACAGAGCTAATAGTCCTTCAGTGTCATCCATCCAGATGCTGGTTACACCTGCAGACAGAATCTTCATTCATTGAATCATGGATCTTAGTATTTTGCAGCAGTCTTACACTGAACTACATAAAACAAATAGATGGGGCATTACTCACCCACTCCCTGGATTCCTGAGAAACAGAGCAAGGCAAAACCAAAGAAACGGAAATAAAATATCTCACTCTCATTTATACCTATTGGACAAATTTGTGCAAGATACTACCTTCTTGCCTTAGATTAGAGACAGATAAATTGATATGAGGTATTAATTGCAATGCAAATTCTTACCTAGGTTCAAAGCTGTTGTCCTTTACTATACACTCTTTCTTTTCAGGTGCTCCTTTCCAGATTTTAGGATCAGCTAAATCCACCAGTGCCTTGGCATTAAGCAATCCAAATCCAAATCTGCTATTCACCATCAACCCTGCTCCATTCTTCTTCCATCCAGGATTGTTGGCCAGTGGGTCATATTCTGAAGTCCAGACTACCAAATGCTGCATATCCCTCCAGGTTAGATTAGGACTGTTTTAAAAAGTCTGGTTAATTCCTACAGAACTGTCAGTCAGCTTTCTCTAATGGTATAATTTTACTCTACACACACAAAGATGTTGAAAAAGCAAAATCTTTTTCTGTTAGGTGCTTATATGCACCCATGCCCCATTACTGTAGTATCTGAGAGCCTCACACACAATGTATTTATCCCAACAAAACTCCAAGATATGGAAGTACTTTTATGGCTGTTATACAGATGGGGAACTGAAGCAAAGAGAGACTAAGGGACCGATTTTTAAATGTATTTAGGTACCTGAGTACTTTTAAAAATCTGGCCCTACATGACTTGCCTAAAATAAGTCTCTGGTGAAGCAGGGAATTAAACCCAGGACTTCCAAGTGCCCTAAACACTGGACCATCCCTTCCTCCCTCACAGTGCATTTCTTCTCTGAAAAGGGATTTTGTGAAAATGCTGTTGTGAAGTTCCATGATTTTTCGAAGACATTTTTTCTCACTACCAGACCTGCAAACTCAGCATTGTTCTCTGAGCCCCGATCTACACTACAAAATTACTTTGGTACAACTACATCACTCAAGGGTGTGAATAATTCACACCCCCTGTACAACGTAGTTTTGCCACCCTATGCACTGTTGTAGACAGCACTATGTCAGCGGGAGAGCTTTTCCCACCAACATAGCTACCACCTCTTGTGGAGGTGGACTTATTAAGACGACAGGAGAGCTCTCTCCCATCGGCTTAGAGCATCTTCACTGGAAGCGTTGCAGCAAATTGTACAAATTTGTTGTGTACACTTGCCTAGAGAATCAGGCTTGGGTGCTTTCTATTTCATGCATCATCACTAGCACTAAGGGTTCTGCAGTCTGAATTAGCACCTCATTTAAACCTCTGCAACCCTATTGTCTTCAGAGTAGGTGCTCACTGACACATGTGCAACCCCATTGCCTTCATAGGTAACTGACTGGAACTTAAGCATTGTCTACACTGCCCTGAAGTTCAGACTAAGGGGGTGTGAATGGCAGCATGTACCAAAGTTCTCCACTGTAACTCCCTGTGATGGGGGGCTGCTCCTTGCTGGCAGAAAAGGGATTAAAAGCAGCCCTAAGGAGGCTGCACCAGAGGCAGTCAATCAGAGAAGGGCTGAAAGGAGCAGCCAATCAGGGCCGAGCTGCAAAAAGGGAGCTGCAGGGCACAGGAGGGCAGTTCTCTGCTGGGAGCCCAGGGAGGAAGGACTGTGTCTCTGGAGAGCTGAGAGAACTGCCAGCACCCTGGACAGAGCAGTGCTGCTAGCAGGAACCAGGAGAGTGAGAGACAGCTCCTGGCTGGCTGCTGGGGTTTGCAGGCAGAGGCCCTGAGGCAAAGGCAAAGAGGATGCTGGGGCCACGAGAAAGTGACCAGACAATTTGCTGCAGTAGCAACTAGGGGAAGTGGCTGAACAGCAGACTGCAGGTCCCCCAGAAGGGGGGAGCACAGTGTGTGGCATGGCTGGAGGGCTGTGTCACTGAAGAGAGTGTAGTGGTCCTTGGAGAGACGTGGACCCTAGAGCAGGAGTGATGGTGGCAAGGCACACCCAAAGAGGGCTAACACACAGAGCTAATTCCCAAGACAGCCAGCAGGATGTGCTAGTTTGGTAAGCGCACCCTGTTACACTCCCACTATGTGATGCCATGGTCATATACTAAAGGATTCTTAGTTCTCACTAATGTACTCCTGTTTGAAGAAGGTGATGGCAATGCGAACTAGGAACCTTTTAGTTTGTGTCTGCAGCTTCCACATGGGGGAGTTATCACACAGCACTTTAGTGCGCAAGGCTATTCACACCTCCACAATCCAAACTGCAGGGCAGTGTAGATAAGCCCTCAGTAAACAAACTGTTGCTGATGTCCAGAATGAAACAGAATCCCCAGGCTCACCCTATCTTATCTATGTTGATCTGCCTGGCTAGCAGGGGTTAAAAGAACTACTAACTTATTTTTATCACTAAAGTTAGTAGACCTAACTGACAGGAAGCAGACCTGTTGAGTGAGATGGTGCCATTTTTGTACAGTCACAGTATGAGAGGACTACATAAGTAGAGAGTTTAGGAAGTCTTACTTTGCATCAAGAGCTAGAGCAAAAATCCCTGCTGCCAATGGAGCAGATGCAGAGGTCCCAGTGTGAGTCTCAGTACATTCGTTGTGAAGATCAGCACTTGTCTGGAAGAAAACATGACTAATATTAACATGAAAAAAGCTGAATAAGCATTACTGTATCCACACATATAAACATAGTTATGCATCCTTTATTCAGTGCACCTTAATTCACCGTAGAAAAACTTTCCAGCAGTGAACAAAATAATGGACGCTTAAATCTGAGGATAATTTAGTCTATTCCTCCTACTATATCTATTTCAACTATAATTTTTGTATCAAAATCCCTTGTATTGGAACAAAGTACTCCCACATTGAATATCTTGCCTTATTCTGAGATTTGAGAGATATAAAAATAAGTGATTCAGACTCATTTGTGAATCATAAAAACCCATCATTGTGTTTGGTCTAGAACATTTAAAATTACTGCTTGCTTAAAAATTACTCACAGGATTAGTAGTAGCATTCTGCTTTCTCTTCAGCAGAAGCACTATAATTTGTAAATGAAACATGCATTTTATTTGAAAATGAAGTACCTAATTCCTCTGCCCATGTGCATGCAATATATGAAAGTGATATGCTGAGAGCTTTACATCTCAGCTGCAGAGAAGCCACTTTGGAAGGACATTCTTTTGACCTACTGAAATGAAAAGTTAATTTAACCTCCCCCTATGCAGTACATGGTAAGATTATCATCAACCAGATCAGAGCTGGTGTTATAGTTATTTAAATGCTACTTTAGCACACATAATCTCTTTATGGCAGGGACTATTATATATATTTTGCAAGATATCATACATATACACACACACAAACACACACACACAGACACAGTGTTAGGTGCTGCACATTATATATATAATGTGCAGCACCTAACACAATGGGATCCTGAGCCTTGACTGTGGCTTGTATGTGTTACCACAATAAAAAAAAAATAATGAAAGAGACATAGAGCCCAATTCTGCCTCCTGCTGAGCATCATTTGCAAGGTGCTGATCAGTTCCCTCCTTCTGTAGTCAGTGGGAGTGGAGAGTGCCCAGAGCCGCACCAGAAGGGTTGAACATCTAGCACAATCAGCCTCAGAGTTTGGAAAATTAGAGATGGTTGGAAAACCACATTTCCCCCCCCCACAAGAAATTTTGAACAAAATCTTTTTTCTTTTACTGAACAAAGTTTCAAACGGCTTCAAAGTGATCATTTTTGTTCCAAATTGACATCCTGACTTCAAAACAAAAACCTGAAATTCATTTACTTACATTTCAATAATAATTAAAAAAAGAGACCCGATGCTCTAGGTACTCTAACTCATCATTAAATATCAGCAGCATTAAGATAATAATTTCAACCTAACCAACCAGACACCTATAAAACTCCTTTCCATCCCTTTCATTGTGCTAGGAAACAAACCCTCAGGCCTCTTAGAAAACCCTCACCAACAGATGTCTTTTTCAACGTCTCTTGAAGGTCACTAAATTCAGGCTATTTCAGACAAAGGACGAGGTGGGGAGCAAGTTCCAGAGACCTGGAGTCCTCACAGAGAATGCCCTGCCAGCTGCCTCCTATCTTGGATAATGAGGGGATACAGCTGAGGCATTCCTGCTGACTCAACTGTGCCATGAAATGACATTTTAAGTTGGAGGGAAATGAACATTTTCATTTCATTTTGAAGTGTCAAAGAAGTAAAAATTTTCATTTTGAAATTCTTCCAGGAAAACCAAAATTTCCCATCAGAATTGACATTTTTCCACTGGAAATTTTGATTTTGACTAAGCTATATTTTGGGGTAGAGAATTTTTCAGCTCAAAAAATTTCAACCATTCTAGTGCTGATGATATGCACTTAGGCCAGCTGACTGTTAATCACAGGCAGTGGAAATTCTTAGAGATTTCCTAACACCTGGAGATTTCATCTCATGAGAGGAAGATGCAAAAAAATAATAATAATAATAATAAAAAAAAAATCGTTGAATCTAGGGCTAGATTTAAATCCTGTTCTGGTCTCAAAGGTCACATACCTGAAAATACAATGATCCTCTTACTAGCAGGGAATGCAATATTCTGAAGCACATTTATGTTTGTGTTAAAAGGTCAAGGTCCCAACTAGAAATGGACTTGAGTTACGATCAACAGATCTGAACCTGAATTTCCCCAGATTTTCAGGCCTTCAGGTCTAGTGTAGGGGTTTGGATCTGTCTATATTCCTAACAGGTAATTACCCCTCATGTCACACGTTTGAATTCTGAAGAGCATACATTCTTCCAGCTAAGTTCAGCATGAATTTACACTTGTGAATTTTCCTTCTGTTTTCTGACGATATGAACCCTCCATAGTTTTGTATTTTTATGATTCACCAGCTTTGGGTCAGACCCCACCCACTTGTTGAGACTCTTCCAACACAAAGATAGATGAGATGTGGTTCTGAATATCTTCCCTTTTGCAGGATATCATATCAAACCTCTATCACATTTAAATAGCGTATAATTTCAGAGATCAACTGTAATGAAATGATGGTACTATGTAGTTATTGCTTTAAAATTAAGGGACGTTAAAGGGTTGCAACCATTTTTTCAATGTGCTAATTCTCCAGGGTTCCATCATGACAGTATTAGGCATATAAAGCATAAGTAAATGAAGCACTTAAAAATCGGGCCTCTAAAAGCTGTTTCTGCTTTGTTGTTTTCATATGTAAAACAATTCTACATGTGTTCCTCAAGCATGTTTATAAATCTGGTAAAAACAACCTACAATTCTCTGGTCAGTATAATCCCCACTGCTGTAGGCTGTGGCCAGTGTCGAGGAGCACTTCTCTGCATACCAGGGAGAAAGACCTTGTTGAGAAGCACTGCTGATGGATATAGTGTAGATACTATCTGTGTAACCATCACAGTCACAATTATCACCCTGACGACCACCATTCCCAGAAGCCCATACAAAAATTGAACCTTTTCCATTTCGGCCCTAAGGAAAAGAAAGGGATGATTATCAAGAGGAAGAAAGTCTACAGTCTCTTTAATACATTCCCACCAAAAATCCACATAATTAAATGATCGCCGGTGATAAAGAATAATTGTTCATATAAATCACAGAAGTTAGAGATAGAAAAGACCTATTATATGTCCCAGTCTATCTCCCTGCCAGTGAAGGATTGCTCTCTATAGTACATCATCTTGTGATTGGTCCAGTCTAGTTTTAAATGTCACAATTAATAGGGCATCTACCATGTCTACTGGAAATACAGTTTGGATGCAAATCAGGAGACTGTGATCAGTAGCTGTGGGGTTTTTCCCTGTGAATACATTTAGCACTGAATGCATTTACAAAAAGCAGTGATACTTTTTTCAACGAATGGAACTTCATTATGAGTTAATTTCATTTGCATTTGTTGTGATCACAGTAATATTGGTAAGCGATATGTCTGATGTGCGAGATGACATTTCCACCCAACTGCCTTTGTAATTATGCCCTTTACAGTTTGGCATTTACTTGATGAAAAACTGCAAAACCATAAGCTCATTTTATTGGAGAGTCTACTCATCACTCCCAAGTCTGTGGGCTTCCAATCATCAGTCTCAGGGCACAATTGCTCCCACTTCCTATTCCAGTTTCCAATGTATAATAAATTAGTAGCAGCTATAAAGATGCTGATAGCTAGGGATGTGGAGAGCTGGAGCAGCATGAAAAACTCCACGCTTTTCCTAGTTTAAACAAGTATTTGCCATTACATCTTAAACTCTTGTAGACTTTCAGTGGAGAGTATCTGCTAATGTGCAGAGCAGAAGCTGACATTTCTAATTCAGTATTAATTTATGTACATTCATTGTAGAGAGCAACTAGAAAAGCAGGTCATCAATTTTTCCCCTCTAATCAACGTTGACATTGCTGATTCAAGGGCCAAGTGGCAATTGTAGCAATCTCAAAATAAAAAATAAAAATAGAAAAACAAGCAACACTCTTCCTATTAGAGTTGTCAGGGTGGCTCCATTGGAAATCACAATAATGAAATAATAACTTGTTTTAGTAACTATGGCTCCAATCCAGCAACACACTTAAACACATGAGATACTCCATTGACTTCAGCAGGAATACTCATGGGGCTACTCACGTACTTACGGTTAAACATGTGCGTAAGTGCTTTGCTGGATCCAGATCTAGGGGGCCAGTCCTGAAGCTAGCTGAATACTGTCATCTCTGACTGACTTGAATGGGAGTTAAGGGCACTCAGTTGAGGGCACCCTTGCAGGATGGGTCCCTAATGGGTTAGTTTGGTACAAAATAAACCTTGAAAAAATGCTGTCCTCTTCACCAAGCAAATTTCCTGATTTCCCAGGTCCAGGCTCAGGCCCTTGATTTCAGGGGCATTGGTTCCTTACTCTTTCCAATGCCCTTTCTGTCCATTTTCCCTTCCCACTCCCCTGGGACTCAATTTTCCTTTCTCCCTTTTCAGACCTCCATTCCTCTCCCTCCCTATCTCTATCTCTCCTTTACCAACACCTTTCTCATTGGTTAGAATTTCCCACAGTTGTCAGGCTCCCCCTTCTCCTGTCCCTCTTTCTGCTGTTCTTGGCCTTTCCCTTTTCTCCAGACTCCTCTCCTTCTCTTCTACAACTCCACAGGCTCTGCTTCAGGCTCTCTTTCTCTTCTCCATTTATCTCTCTGCTGCATGCTCCTGTCAACACTATCTCTAGACCACCTTTAGATGTCTGGATACCTCCTCCTGGCTAACAGGTGGGGACAGTGTTTATGTGTCTGCGTTTTTGTGTGTGTACCCAGCACTCTCATTCAACACACCACTTGTCTTCTAACCAGATCTACAGGGATAACATAAAAGAGAATTTAAAAGCTGCTGCTTTCAGTATTCTCCAGCACGCATTCCCACCATCTTCATTTTAATTGGATCAGGTTATGCATAATGCAATTAACATAGTGTAAGCAGCAGAATAACACAACCCATCCACACAGTGCTAAAACACATCACCATTTTATAAAATGAAATATTCGTGAAGCGAACACTTTGTATTAAATTTTTATAGGAGCCTCTGTGCAGAAATCCAATTACTATTCAGAGCAAAACAAGCAGAGAGAGAGGAGGTGGGGGAAGGGAGGCACAAAAGCAGCAAAAGGAAGGATGAAGAAGGAAAGCTAGTCTGCAGAGAATAACCCCTTGAAAGCAGAATACTATAAGAACGCTTTCAAAAGTCAGGTCCCAGCTGGGAAATTTTGCTGAACCTTTATATTAATATCCTTCTAAAGAATGATTCAGTTTCTCAAATCTGTTTGAATGAGCAGAACGCTTTAGCAAGAAATAGACAAAGAACCATTGCCATTTTCTCACCCCAAGCACCATTTTAAACTATGATCTTTACCTGCAAGCTGGGCTGTATTTCAACTTAACTACCTATTAGACAGCTTACCTGTTTGATCCCATGTTCAAAAGCCTTCTGTGCTAGCCTGCCAGGTCCCTCTACAGTTTTACCATCATCATTAGGGCCCCAGCTTGCACTGTAAATATCCACATGTTCTGGATTAAAACCAATTGAACTGGCTTCAATTGCATCAGTGACTATTCCATCCAGCATTCTTATACCTTAAAATAAAAAAAAAACAGGTAGAATGAATCTATTTCATGTTTCCTTTACATTATCATTGTTAACTATTTGTACAGCACCTAACACAATGGGATCCTGGTCCAAGATTATAATATCATTGTAAAACATTTCATGTATGTATCATCCTTCCTTTGAAGAATTCAGGGCATTTTACAAATATTAAAAGTGACCCTATAAAAATTGGACTGTGCCCCACTATTTCTCCCCGTTTTTTCATTTTAAAGTCTACAGAGAAGAACTGTGAGAGTCCCCCCTCTCCCAGTTTGTTTTTTACCCTTGAAATATAAAAAAGAACAAATCTGGTCTACAGTGTGTTTTTCTGGAGGACCTCCTGAATGTCTCATAGCAGAGGTATTGGATCCTCTTATTTTAAGTTCTCTCTCTCCCTCTGTCTCTCTCATCTTTTAACAAAGATTTCTTGTCTTCAAAAGTTAAATAGGTGTTATCAAAAATAGAGTTTTTAAAAGTCTTTTGTCTTTAAAAGTTTTGAGTTTAAAAGTTTTGTTTAAAATGAAGAATTTTAAACACTCAGACTAAAGAATCCCTTCCCCCTCTCAGTTACTAAGCTTGTCTTTTATGGTGTTATTGTTTCACTAGCTATCCAATCCTGAATACACAAAGGAACATTGCAGAACTTTCCCAGCATTGTTAATACTAGTTCATTTCTACCATTGTGAACAATATGGGAAGCCCCAGTGATAGCCAGCCATTAACATTTTCATCAGAATCGTGTCATCTAATCTTGCTCAGAGCAGGATCTCCAGAATGCCCCAAATTCCAAGGGCAGCCAGTGGCTCATCTGCACTAGAACTCCCAATATTGCTAACACTGTCACACTATGTTAGAAATGGTGGGGAACTTTTACACAATTCCAGCAGTTGTACAGCAATGGTAGCAACAGTACAACTGCTAATGTAATGAGGATTCAGAACAGGTTTTCATGGCACAATAATAAAAATGCTTGGGCTCTGTCTATGCTAGCGATTTAGTACCGGAGAAGCTGTACCATTGCTGGCAGTTGCTGAACTATGGATTATAATTCTTCTAGTGCAGAAATTCGCATACATTTTTCCAAAGAAGGACAGACAAGATCTGAATTTCTAATGGGAGGGGGGAAAAACCCACCAAACCTCAGGCTTTGATTCCTTCTTTTGCATTGTTAAGAAACAAAAAAAGGAAACTGACTGCAGGATTAGGGCCTGAGACTGTAATATGCAATGAAACAATTAGAACACAGGAGCTAGTATAGACACTGTGAGAGCACCAATAGACATAAAGGCAGCTGTACAGACCTGTAATATAATACAAGAACAAACAATTATATCCTCAGCGCACTAGTGAAAAACAATTAAAGCAAAACTGTTGTTTCGGTTCTATTCTCTCTGAAAACTCCGTTTGTTTTTAAAATAAACTCAGGGATATGATTATTGCAATGGTTTTTCATTAAATTAGTTTTCACCAGTAAGCAGTGTCATAGTATTTGTCCATACATTTGTCTTTCCCTTTTCTTCTACATGCTTGTTTCCCATCATCAGCCTCATGAATTCAAAAACAGGCAAAAGCAAAAGGAATTTCAGACAGATACATGTATCTGCCTGACAGATGGCTATTTTTAGCATCACATTCACTGTGTTGGAACTCTCAGCCCAGTCCTTCATAAAATACAACTTCTTAATCATTTGATTTCCATGCAGCATCAGAGAAACAGTGCTGTGGTGATGTATGTGTAAATAAATAAATTCCATTTACTAAATGGCATATGGGATAAACCACATTTCTTTTTTCTACAGAAAATAAAGGAGGGGAAGTGCATGTATATAATAAATGAAATTGAAATGTGACATTTAAAACTGGTACAAGGAAATATTTTTCAAACAATGCACAATAAGCCTGTGAAACTCATTGTTATATTATTTCAATGAGAGCAAGAATGTAACAGAATTCAGAACAGGATTGGACATTTATATGGATAATGAGAACATCCAGAGTTATGATGTTAAATATTTGAAAAATAAACAAGAGCATTCCTTCCTGGAGAAGTGTACCAGTAAAAACCTGTCTCTCCATTTGCAAATCACATAATAACACATGCAGACAGGTGTGAAGTAACCTGCTTTGTATATGCAAGTGCTTGGAAATGTGGGTACAGTGGGTGTTCAACATTTTTTGCAGTTTCATCCCTTCGCCCTGCTTTGAATATTTGATCCTTGATGTCTTCTTCTGAGTGAGATATTTTATTTAAACAGTGTGTGAAAGCATAAAGCAGAATGGCAAAGGCGGACAGGAAAATGACATCTCTGACAGCTCTAACTCCTCTGAGAAAACAGGACTCAAACGGTGAGAACAGTAATCACAGTTGTCAACTCCAGCTCAGCTGTCCCATTTGAGTCAAGGAAAAAAAAATGTTAAATTGAAAAACTACAAATTTACAAGTCTATTTTCTTTTGTGCTAAATAACCACAAGCAACTGATATTTTGATCACGTCTATTTCACAGATCTGTAATAAACTAGACTTTCAGACACCATTCTAAAAAAAGGGCAGTGTTGACTAACAGATAAACAAGACTTTACCTTTTTTCAAAATTAACATGTTATTGAAGTGGAGAAACAAGCAATTGAAATGGAAACCACAGCAATATGAATACCTTGACTGACATGACCTTTCTATATAACTGTGTAGACAGGAACAAAACACTCTAAATAAAGGAAACTGGATTTTCTCTCTCTCTCCGCAGGTTCTATTTATTTTTGTTCTAAATTAAATACCAACCCACCAGTCCTTTATTTAAAAATATAGCCCTCTGTTTAGTTGCAACCAATAATTATATTATGGATCAAACCCTGAGAAACTGATGACTGCTCTGGATTTGGGACAATATACATGTAGCAACTTAAACTATTTCTGGTATGAAACCAAATACCGGAAGGTCCTGAATGCCTCTTGAGACAGGCTGAGCACACTCAGCTCAAGGTGATGGTAGCTCAGAGTGCTCAGCACTTCCAACTGAGCAATCAGCACCTTGCAGGACCAGTTCCTTACTTAACTTTGTTTCTATTCACATCAGAAAAAGTAAAGTTTAAATCAAATTATTGTTTGGTTTCTTACCTCCAACTCTGGAATTGTATGCCACACCAACACCACATTTCTTGTTATTGGCCTGCATGGCAATTTCTCCTGCACATCGTGTTCCATGTCTGGATAAAGTAAATGACCATTTAAATCATACTATAACTTAGTGCATTTATTTAACCTACAGAGAGACTTGTCACGGTTCTTCTAGAATTGGTGCATTCTTTCATCATTGAGATGTGAACTCTTTGAATATTAAATAGGTTTGGAAATATGTCCATTTGGAAAAGAAGGCGCTTTTTGTACTTAGGCTTTGGCAATCATAATTTCGAACCATCCCATGATCAATGGATAATCAGGATGAAGCACTAAGAACCTGATCCAGACCCCGCTGAAGTCAATAGAAAGATCATGTTGTTACAATGTCTACCATGAGCTGTACCATACCTGCTATAACAGACTGCAATAGTAAGGCAAATTTGGAATGCTAAATCCCTTAAAAGTAATCATGAAAAAAGCCACTTTTAAGCAAAAATTTAGATGTTTAATTTATTTTGGGATACAACTGCGTAGTATTTAAAATAAACAAATATCTTCATCTTTGTGAAATGATTCCTCTAACAAGATATTTTGTATGAAAAATCTTTTGCCATGAAGGATTCCTACCCTTCAAACTTAACAAGACAGCATAACTATACAGAGTTACTTTATCTAGTACTACAGCTTGGTTGCAATGAAATGCTTCAGTGCTTCTGGGTGGAATTCCATTTACATATTAATAAAGATTAGAGGTAATGCAGGTAGATTTAAAAGATAATGTCATTGGAATAAGAGGATAATGGCCTCCTACTGATACATAAATGCTGTAGCAAAACAGAGACATTCATTTCCAAAATCATAGAACATTTATTCTCTGATAACTTCCCATTCTGGTGACTTTATTTCTATTATACCAATGAATTCATGATGTGGATGCTACCATTGTGCCTAATTAGGGTGACCACACAGCAAGTGTGAAAAATTGGGATGGGGGTAGAGGGTAATAGTAGCCTATATAAGAAAAAGCCCCAAATATCGGGACTGTCTCTATAAAGTTGGAACATCTGGTCACCCTATGCCTGACGGACAGTGGGGAACCAGCGTGTCAGTTCCTCATTGTATCATTATTAAATAGTGACATCCTAACTGGCTTACAGAATTAACTTGTTCTGTGCTACAGCTTGTAAAGAGGTCTGTTCTCTTCTCTGTGGACCAGCTGTCTCCCTAGACTATCATGGAAGGACCTAGGTGCAGCAGAACTACTATGGTGTTTCACTATGCAGAGGAGAGGTGGGTTGTAGGGAGGTCATGCGGAAAGATTCTTCATTCCTTCCCTGCCACAAAATGCTATAAAATTCCAATAAAATAAGTGGTCAGGTGTGTAGGAGGGAGCCTGCTGCACCTTCACAAGGGATGGTGTGGTGGGTATGTTTCCCTAGTGCCTAAGACACAGTCCCTCCCAGAGGCCCTCCGATGGGCAGATATAGTTCCTCATCGTTCCCCTGTGCAAGGCCATGCATTATAGGCATAACTGAGTAAAAAGTCTGCTTAGTCAGATTGGTATGCCCTATAATTCATTAGCACTAACACCAAAAGATTGTTCCCCTGAGATTACAAATATGTTATCAGTGCTTCATAGATAGAACCATATGAAGAAGAGAGCTTCAAAATATAATGTGGAAATTAAATTGAAAAAACTCATCTTGATCTGGAAACTTATTCAATGTCCATATACAATATGCACAAAAATACCATAATGTTTTTTCCCTTTTACATGTAATAGTCCTTCTGAGTACAAATATTTCTCAGGTCAATGTTGAAGAGCTGTGCATTTGCCTGTTCTAAGGCACAGCATAATACTTCATTAGTTTGTTTCTTTTCACAAAATGAGAGGCTACTCACTTGTTTTCATTTGTTGGATCATATCTGGGAAAGGGATCGTGATCATTGTCATTGAAATCATAACTTGCCTCGGGATCCTAAATTAAAAAATAGACTTTATAGTTACAATGAGAAAATATCCTCTAAAACAAGTTTTAAAGTTTCTGAAGTCTATACTAGGTGATGGCATAATTAGATAGATAGATGTGACATCAACTTTAATGTATACTTTCTCCTCAGCGTTAGTCATCATTCTCGATGTTTAGGTGAACAATTCGCTTTCATAAAATAAAGGTACATAACCTTTAAATTAATCTTCTAGAACAGGTATTGACTAGCATGCACGGGGGGAAAGGTTTCTTGCTATTAAAGCTTTGGATGTTGGAAGGCTAGTGTGGGGAGGCCTGCAAAGAAAGGTATTGGGATATCTGGAAGAAGGGCACTGGATGGTTTATTTATCATTAAATAACTTTACAAACATTTAATTAAGGAATACTCACAGTCAGAGCTGTTTTGAACGACAAGTTTTTGTTAAATGAAAAGTGGCTTTTTTCAAAACCAATTTTTTCATGAAAAATTGGTGAAAGTTTTTTGTTTACTATCTGTTTTCAGTAAAAAAAATAACCATTTCCATAGCATCTTCAAAAATATTTTTTTAATTCTCCATTTTTTTTGGCAAAATTAAACATGGATCTTTTAAGAAATCTTTGAAATGACAACAATTTTGAACAGTCTAATTTTTGTGTAGTTAAATTCTGGAACTGGCTTCCAAAGGAGATTGTGGAATCCCCATCAGGTTTTAAGAACAGATTGTACAAACACCAGTAAGGGATGGTCTAGGTTTACTTGGTCCTGCTTCAGCACAGGGGGCTGGACTTGGTGAGCGCTCAAGATCCCTTCCAGCCCTACATTTCTATGATGCTGTGATTATAAAATACACAAAGGGCTACTAGACTTTTAATAATTCAGCATTAAACCTGATGTCTAAACATGCCCAGGGACTAAACCACCCTGAAGAACCCACTATCCTGGTGAGCTTATTACTCAATTCCTAGTGATACAGGCCAGGGTCCAAATTATGCTTGGGATGAGTATTTCAGTTTCTCTGTCATGTGGGAGCTGTCTTACTGAACAGAGAAAAAGCCAAAGAAGAATGTTTGTATATAAACATCTGCAATTGGTTGATTTATTCTACAGCATTCTTAAAGCACAAACTTACATAGTTATTATATATGTCAGTGTGATTCCACTCCAAGCCATCATCGAGCACTGTTATAACAACGCTTTTGCCTGTAATCCCTTTTTGCCATACAGGAATAACATGGAGATCCAGTTTTGGCAGAGATGGAGTCACCCTTGTATCTTGCTGGGAGGAAAAATGATAGTAAGCATTTTAACATTTATACATTCATATGACACCTGTTCAAAGCTGTGTTTGAGCCATATTACAAATGTGCTTTAAATCAACCTTGGTTTGAGTGTGACCAGAATTTGTAAATTCCACCCAAGTTTTACAAAAAATCAACAAAGATTGGCCTGTTCAAATAGCTGGGATGCTGACAAACCTCCCTGTCCTTACCCAGCTTCCCTCATTCCATTCACCTTATGACTTATGATGCTCCCAAAAGATATCTTAGGTAAGAAAAGGGCATCCTGTGTCTGATAACAGGAGTAAGGGAGATTGAGGAGCAGGATATGCTGGATGATCCTTGGATATTTGAGTTATTAGTCAAATCTACAAAGGTTGGTTCTCTTTCATCCACTGAGAACCAAACTGAAGCCACCCAGGATATGAGGAGCTGTGTTTTCTCTAAATTGTCTCTCCTTTGATGTCCAGGTTAGCTAGTGGAAAACAATTAGGAAATGGAAGGAATTAAAATGATGGGTTGATTATGAAGGACTGTGCTGGCTCACAATTTCCTATTTACTACCTCAGTGGAAAATCTCTTGGAAACATGACTCACCTATGCTGGCTTTCCTTTTAAGGAAGTGTCTTTAAAGATTAACTCTTTAACGGATTTTTTTTTGTAATGTTAACCATAACCATATATATATTTCAATATATGACAGCTTTACTTAATACCTCTATAAAAACACAGGCACAGATTCAATCACTAATGTTTTCTTTGTGTTTCTCAGCACATAAATACATTATTAAATAGGAATTTTTTAAATGTTTGTACATCTTTGTTTCCAGAAGAATGCTGAACCAAGCGTGAGATCCAGATAATGAAATGCACTGCGGGAACAACATTTCTTGCATTACAATGCCCTGTTTTCTAGCAGCTGCAGTTCAGGGAAATATTCTAGGTCATAGGGTTGTTCTGTAGGATCTATCATTTAATTGCTTTTCTGATGAATGTGTGAGGATAACCTGGGGCAGGGAGTTCTATTTTGACATCAGAGGAGCCAATGAGCAATGTATTTATTACATGAACAGGGAAGCACCTTAAAAAAATACTTAACCCTTAAATAGCACTTTTTATTTGAGGATTTCAAAAACACTTTGTAAAGGAGGGTAAGTATCATGATCCCCATATGAGCAAACTGAGATGCAAAGAGGAGAAATGACTGGGCCAGAGCCACACAGTGAGTTAGTGGCAGTGCCAGGAAGAGAAACTAGGTCTCCTAGATTCCAGTCCATTGCCTTTTCCACAAGACCACACTGCCTTTCTCTATATTTGCATTCTCTCCATTGAAAATGAGCTGGAGAGAGAACACAGGGGAAAGGCCTCCCGGAAATATAAGATTCTGAATAGTCTCCATTGCAAAAAAACAAAAACAAAACAAAAAACTCACATCTGACCAAACAGCACTGGGGTAAGAGAAAAGCTGGTCAATCAAAGCAGAGCAAATAAAAAATCCACAGGGGCACAGCAGTGAATCTGGTGCCCAGGGCAAGTGCCCGTCCCTAGAACCAGCACTGCCTGGGGCCTCCGACAGTACCTTACCCTCATTCCCTCTTTTGGAGCCAATGAAGTCTGAAGGTACAGGCATAAGTAGATGCACAGTGTGATCATATGTGGTGAACAGGCTTAAGTTTAGTTATGATATGTCCAGCAGATTCTCAGAAAAGCAATGTAAAACTCAGCTGTTCAGCTGTATTTAGCTGAGTTGTCACAGGAGGTAAAAAAACATGTTTAGGGCAGGAAACCTCATCCTCTGCCACCTCTTCATTAATGATTGATCCTATGAGGAGCACCTTCAGCTCCAGCCGAAGTCAACAGAAGTTGGGGTGCTCAGCACCTGGCAGGTTTGAAGCGTTATTCTCTGTTGACCTATGCAGTGTGCATTATTAGCTCCAACACAGAAAATATGCTACCAACTAAAGAGATAAAACTAGAGATGCTGGTATTATCTGGTAAGGCTAAAATTCATGTTATTGTAAACATGGCTCTTAACTGTTTAACAGCTTTTTAAGGTATCACATAATTCCAGTGATCAGAAACTTGAACTGGAAACTGGATGACATAGCCTTTGCGTGGCTTAAAGAAAAAGAATGTTGCTTGGTGATATCAAACGCTGAGACCTATCATTTCCATGGGCTACACCAAAGAAAGTGGCTACAGTCTGCTCCCTTCTGTGCACCCTCTTTGACATCAATAAAATAGCACAAGTGATTAGTAGAAATAAGGTTCATTGCCTGCTAATACCATATAAAAATAAACTCTTACCAGGTACCACTGCTGATTCCACATAGGATCGTTGAAAAGGTTTTCTGCTGAGTCTCTCAAGGCTGAACGCTTAGTTCGCTTTTTTTCATATTGTTGCTCTGCCCATGACACCTACAAGTATTTTTATCAACAATAACAACATATAAACTCACAGAGATTAACTGGTTTTGAGAGTGTTTCATTGTAAAACAGAACCTTGGAATCTAAGGGGGAAAGTGGAGGGTTCGTTGCTGCAAAGTGCATTTCTGCATTAAAGTGTATCTTAAGCAGAAGGAAGATTCAGTGAAACCATGGTACTATAAAATCATTTAAAGTACAGCTAGAGTGAAAATCTTTTCTGTGCAAATGCCCTATAATGTACCTTTTATTTGTTAAAAGTATATAGCTGTTAGAAGATTGCCTAATCTGTGGTAGTGACTCAAACAAGCAAAAACACCATTTGTTTCACTCTTCAGCCTACAATTTAATATCTCTCTGTGTGAACTAGAAAGAACAGGAACCGTGAATTTTTAGAGAGGGAAAAAGAGCTATTCTTGCTACAGTCACAGCGATGTTGCTACTCATATTCCATCTGTCCCTCAAAGCCTCTTTCCAAATGGCACTTATGATCACATTCCACTTCAAAGTGTGAACAATTAGAAAGCAGCGAATAGTACACCAAATTCAACACTGGTGTGACTCTATTAAAGTCAGTGGGGTTACACCAAAATGAATACGTTCAAGTGTGTTTGTGAATGTCTCTATGCATGTAATTGCATGCCAGTTATAGATATACGTGACTATGTTTAATTTACTTGATGGTATTTTCAAAAGGTTTCTCATTTTGTCTTTTGGAATGAATTACTCCTTTGTCTATTTACCCAGAAAAATTCAGTTCAATTTTAACAGAGACAGATTCTGATACCCTTACTTATGCTGAGTGTAACTTTATTCTGCAAATAATGCTATTTATTCAGTTGGGGAACTATTCATTGAAGTAAGATGCTATTCAACAGGAGTAAGGGTATCAGAATCTGGCCCATAGCTGGTGTCTAATATAGACTTGCTTTTTGCTCCATTTTCCAGCTTGGTAAAGTGAAAACAAGCTAGGTGACTTGCCAAGATCCTACAACAAGTCCTCAGCCCAAGATGTTCCTGGCTCCCTAACCCTTTGCTCTAAACATTAGATTAGGTTTTTTTATTAGGACTCATCTCTCTAGGCTGTGCTCTCATACCTTTTTGCTTTACACATCTGTCACAGGATATGTCACAATTGTGAGTATGAAAAACCTAATTTAATGAATTGTTATACTGATATGATTTAAATGTATTTCACATAAGGGAAAGTTAATGAAAAGCTCCAAATAAGAGAATATAGCTAAAAAAAACTGAGGCCACTGCACATATGTAATTTGAGAGTACACTGCATAATATAGATTTTCCTACTTTGTGTACATTTAGTGCTAAAAATGTGTGCTGAGTGACAGCCCTGGAGACTGTAGTCCTCTCCTTATTCACTTAACCGGAATAGCATGGATTGTATTAGTGCAAGAAATATTCTACTACTGCCCCATCAATGTGCAGGAGGACCACTTCTACATAAGTAAGGACAGTAATCCTTCACTCTCCTCCATGTCCATTCAGTGCTTGGCCTCTTTGTCAGTTAATGCTTGTTAACAATTAGTGTCAGCTGTGCTCATCATTTTTGTGATGAGGACAACTGCCCTCTGGGACATGAGTCGAGATCACCAAACTCATATATCAGTGAAAAACATAGTCTAACAAGCCAAATTTTTGTCACTATGTAGTTGGGCTTGATTCAAACTGTCAATCTAATAGAGAGAAACAAGGCTCTGTACTAACCCATTGGGAGCCATTGATATACAGAATAGTTAAAATTATCCCTTGAATTTGATGTAATGTTGTTGATAGAAAATGGATTTCTTAAACTAGTCTGAATATTGGAAGAAGTTAGGGACCAGAAAATTACACATTTTTAAAACAGTTAAAAGCATTACATATTTTACTTTAAACACTGGGCAGATTATAAAGAGGCATAGCTCCAGGATCTTACTTACTGCATTTCGATAAAACAAATTAATATTCTCAATACTATAGGCCAAAAGTTTCCTTAATTTACACCCACACAGCCCTACTAAAGTAAATGAAATGCTACAAACATAGCTAAAGGCAGGATTCTATTAACTGTCTTTTAAAAATGTATTTAATTCTTTTAAGATGGGCTGCTCTTGAACAGGTATAGATCTTTAGAGAAGATGTCTATGTATAACTGTATAGCATTACAGCATTGCTTTTGGTTTTCTGTATATACTTACATAATTACGTCTCACTCTTTTAAATAGCTTATCTGAATACTAGATGGTAAATAAAAAGCAAATTGGAGATGATTTTGCAAATGTCACCTGCAACATTTCAAAGCCCTCTATTCTTTACTTCAATAGATAAATATGCAATAATGATTGTCATCAAAGTCAGTCACGCAATTGCCCCCACTCTCTGTGTTATAGCAGAGAAATATACTATAAACAAAATTGGTGGTATTTCCCCCAGTAATGGATAAATTAAATGTAACTGGATCAAATGGAGAGAACTGAACCTAAACTCTGTATCAGATCAACCTGGTATTATCGGGGTGTTGAAAATGTGAAGCCAGATCTGGATGTGAATTTGGAAATGCAACCCTTATTTACAATCAGCCAAACCCAAATCCTGTATATAAACATCTCCAAATTTAGAATGTTCACATTTTTCAGCTTGAACCTATCTCCACTATCAAAGGAAATGCTAGCAGTAAGACACAAGGGGAAGTGTGACTTTGAAACAGAGCAAGCAGAACAAAGTATATCCTAACCCATTTTTTCTCATCTCTGACTAGCTTCTCATATTGAATGTTGCCTCCTAACAAAAGCTCACAGTCTAATTTTTTTCTTTGAGTAACTGATCACTTAAATATTTTTGTTCTTAAATGATTAAATGTTTTTTCACAACTGGATCTCTAAATATTATAAGAAGTTTAGATTTAGATTTTTGCTGTTCCACTAGATAGTAGTTTTAAAATTTATTAAATTTCCTAACTTTTAAGCTAAGCTTTTAGTTACTGAAAAACTAACCAGTTACCTGGTGTGTTTAAAAAGCAGCCACCACCTTTACCATCCACAAAATTAGATAAATGGAGGATCTGTTTCACCGGTGTAACTAAGACCCTACAAAGTCAAAACTCCTCTTGACGGTTTCAATCAGATGGCCAGCCTTGTCTGATTTCCATAAGAGTTTTGAGTGCTCAAATACTGAAAGACTGGGCCCCGTAACAGGCCCTTTTTAAATGTTAATTGGACAGCTAGTTATTGAAACAGAGTATTGCAGCAAAATCTCAGCACTTTTTTCTAATTTTTTCTAATATATAAGCACAATGAACTAGACCTAGATTTCCTAGAAATAGCACAGAATGAGCTTTCAGTCAGGTCCTCTGAAGTCAATGGAAAGACTACCATTTACTTCAACAGACTTTCGATCAAGCCCTGAAGTTCTTTGTATGTATTTTCACCAACCACACATAAGCATTTCAATCCAGAATTACTGCAGGTCTGGAATTATAAAAGAGTAATTTGCAGAAAAATACACAGCAGCTTAGGACCAGATTTTGCCAGTCTTACAGACCTTGACTAGTGCCTTACTCCTTGAAGTCAATGGGCCTGTTCATGGAATAATGTACTACTCCACACGAGTATGGATGGAAGAATATATTTGACTTGCAAAATGTGTCTGTGACCACATTACAAGTCAAGCAATAAGCTGACAACATGGATGCTGGATATCAGAAAGGGTAAATGCTACACTTACACGATGATCATCGGAGAGTCTCTTAGTGATATGAATGGCACTTCTTCGAGATCTTCTTGGATGGCTTCTGTGTCTGAATAGATAGTGATTTTCGAGTGATCCAATCTATAAAACAAAGGAATATTTTCCATACTGCCAGATACTTCTCCTATTGCAAACAAATATCAACATTCATAACTTGTCAGAATTAGAGTCCATCTTCAGATGAGTGAAAACTAGAATAAATGTACAGTTTATAATATTTGTATTCTAAAATAAAATTATCTCCAAGCTAAGGTGTTGATCACTAACAAAAGCTGTGTGTTATTTGGCATAATGTTGGGAAAACAAGAGGCACACTCCAAGCTGAAGCTAAAGTAGTTACTTTTGATTTACACTGGTATAAATTAAAGTAAAACTTGGTCCCTATTTTGACATATCTTAATTAAATTACATTTTAAGGACAAGGTTTTATTTCTGACCATGGCACATGCTACTGCCGACAGCATCTCTTTAGGATGTTGATGGGATTGAATAAGGGAATGTATATTTTCTTGGAGTATTCAAATGTGTAGCCAGTGACTATACAAATATGAGCTCCTTGTGCATGCAAACTAGACTGATTGCGTTCTCTATCCCAGTTTATTGTTTACAGCTATGAAATCTATATTTCCATATGACATATTGGGAGTAATACACATATCCATCCATATCCTACTAAAGTCAGTGGCAGTTATGCCATTTTCTTCAGGGGGACCAGGTCCGGGCCATAATCATGGACCTACTATTATACATACTGCAGTATGTTTTAGGAAAAGATAAACCTCTCTGATGGAGAGGGCCTGTCTTCCCCCTGGCAATCAGCGGGGCAAGACACTGTTTGGGAAAACTGTGTGGCGCTAGCCAATGGGGGACTGGAAGAGGAGAGATGGATTTTAGACTAGGGTCCCCAGGCTCTCTATCTTCAGCATCCTCTCTCCTACTTGGGTTACTTAGATGAAGTGAGCTGTAGCTCACCAAAGCTTATGCTCAAATAAATTGGTTAGTCACTAAGGTGCCACAAGTCCTCCTTTTCTTTTTGGGAATACAGACTAACACGGCTGCTACTCTGAAACCTTAGATACAGGCTTTTTTTACCCTTGCACGGTGGTTTGGTTCCTAACGCCGCCCATCTCATTGGCTGGAGCAGCAGGACCCAGGGGGCTGGAGCTCCAGAAGAAGCGGAGCAGCAAGGATGCTGTTACGTCAAGGCAGTTACTCATCCCTGACAACGCTGACATCACGGCATCCCGAGCGCTGGAGGAGCGAGCCAGCGCCGCCAGACACCCCCCGCCCCGACCGCCGGGCCAGAAGTTTGCCTAACCAGAGAGCCCGGGGCGGCGGGGCGGAAGCCCCTGGCTTTGCACGAGGCAGGGGAGGGCTCGCTGTCCGCTGGCTAGGTACGGGCTACGCCATCTCCCTCTGTAACGCGCACAGGCGGGGGAGGCAAGAACCAGCTCCCGGGGAAAGCAAAGTTAACAAGGCTCCGTTCCCTGCCGGGGGAGCTGGCGGGCCGCGGGCATCTGTCTGCCGGCTCGCCCGCTGCCACTGCAAGTCCCGCGCCCCGCGCCGAGGGCTGGCAGCCGCCGGCCACTCACACCAGACACTCGGGGAACGCGATGCTGCCATATTGGACCCACCTCCCTGGCGCGGGCGGGGCCGGGCGCGAGAGGGCTCGGAGCTGCAAACACTCCCCTGGGGGCGCGAGTTTCAAGGCAGCCCCGAGGCGGGACCCGAGCCCGGCACTCTAGGCCCCCGGGCACCGGGGCCCTGCCGCCTTGCGCGTCTGCGCGCAGCCCCCCGAGCGAACCCGGGCCCGCCGCAGCTAACTGGATCGGCGCCCGCCATCGCCTTCCCCGCCCCAGCGAGCCCAGGGTTGGGACCTTGCCTGGGGGTGGGGGGGGGGGCGCTCCAGGCTACATGGGGCCGGCCCGTGCCCGGGGAGAGGCGTCCGAAAGTTACCTGCCGGCTGCCCCTTACCTGGCCCAGCAGCTCGTACTCCAGCTCCTCGGCTATGGCCTGGGCTGCCGCCGGACCGCCGGGGATCTCCGCCGCCCATTCATTGACGAACTGCTTCTCCGCGCCGGCCAGGCTGGCAGCCGCGCACCAGGCGCAGAGGAGAGCCAGAGCCACCCGTCGCCTCCCGTCCATGGCCCGGCGAGGGACGCGGGAAATCAAAGAAACGCGGGGAGGGGGGGACCAGGCGGCGGATCGATCGCCCCGGCTGCAGCCCTTTCGCTCCTGGTTGCTATGCGGACACCCGGCAGGCTGGAGGGCGCAGCGTCTCCCAGCCAAGCGCGCCACGGCTCTGGCGCGGGGCTGAACGGCGCCCAAACCCTCTCCCGCGCCGGGCTGGAACCGAGTGTTTACACGTCAAAACTACGAACGCCAGCCTGACGTCAAATGTAGCTGGCCCCCGAGCGAGCGGGTTATTCCCAAGCGGGGAGGGGGAAGGGGGGGGGTTGCTAAAATAAGCCGGAGGGACAGACGCACATTCAAATAAGAGGAGGAAAAATAAAACCCAGCCAACCCTCTGCTAGGAGCTGAACCCCTCTACCCCTGCCCACACACATCCTCCACCATTAACAGCTTCCCTAAGCGCTGCCAGAGATAAGCTCTCTGTCAAGTGCATGGCACTAGCAAACAGTATTGTGCCTTTTCTTATCAGGGGGCTTTAGGCTCCTCTTCCAGGAGGTGGCTGCTCTAACCTGCAGAAGGCACGAGTTAATGCCCGACACAGCTCACAGACTGGCTCTAACCGCCCTGGAAAATGCTTGCACTGCCCCAGCAGATGACTTGTAAAGGGGTTCTGTCCAAGAGATAAACAGCTAGCACTAACCTCGTCTGAAGCAGCTCCAGCTCCCATTGCAGCAAAGGGACGTGCAGTTTTCTAATGAGCCAACTTTAGTTTACCTCCTTACTCCCGGGGGATTTTAAAACTAGGGGTTTGAAAAATCACGGCAGTGGGAACAGGCGTGACAGTGGAAATTACAGTGTGTGCTGCGCGCAGAATAACGTTGCCTACCACATGCTCGCAGATGGAGATAAAGGATACACATCCGAAACCGGTTCGCTTTCTTGCTCTGTTTAAACGGGAAGAGCTGTTTTCTGGGGAAAGGGTCGACGGGACAATGAGTTAGAGGCACATCCTAAATATTTGATGTTACCCCTCGGAAAAAGTATTTCAAAGTCAAATTTTAATCACGAAAATAAATGGGAAGTAGTGCCTATTTAATTACACGTCTTCCCAATAATGATATTTAGCACAGTACAAAGCGTTCAGAATCGTAAGGGGTTTATTTTTATTTCCCCTCTCTATTAGTACAATCTTTTTCAGTACGTCAGGATGAAGAACGATTATCCTAGGTGCTTAGAAGTAAGCATGCAGTTAAAACAGCTTGAGACAGGGAAGGCGCAGAGTACTATAGATTCCTTCTGTGTCTAAGTGCAGGTTTGCTCAAATGCAGTCCAAAGTATGGCACATTTCAGCATGGCTGGGATGGACAGCGACTAGCGGCTGCATCTGAGTGAGCTGTGCATCTAGATAGTCTCATGCCCTCTCGGCCGCGAATCTCCGCTCCGCTTGACACTGGCTTTAGATCCAACTTCTTTTTTAATAAGGCAGTAATTGAACTGTGAGGCAAGTGCGTTGGCAGACTCCTGGCAGTACCTCAAGATGAACATACGGTTGCTGTTTTCCCCCACAAACTCTAAGATTCATCCTGTACTAAAACTGGAAATGAGTAAAGATTTTATCATCTGATTAAAAACAAAACCTTTACAGTGTGGGGTTTTTTTTTTAGCTGCTAGCCATCCTTGGGAAGAGCTGTGGTCAAGACAGAGAAGCAATAAAAGGGAAGAGCTGGGAGAACAAAACGTTTCTCAATTAAGCTAATAAGACAAAACCTACTATGCAGTAATGCTTGATTAATGCACAATGTCCCCTGATACTTCCATCGCACCACAGGTATGCATTAATTTGCACCGCTCCCCAGTCTATGTGCTAGGGATCTTTAAAATAAAGTATCATTGTTAATTTTTAAAGAATTAAAATATTATATTGCCATATCATGGCATGGCTCTGTTCTCCAGTAATGCTGACATTTGTTAAGAACAGAATATTATATAAATATATATCATTTTATCTGTTCATAATTTCCCCCTTTATATTTTATTTAGCTATTCAGCTGCCATTTCATTCTCTTCCCTCTCCCCACAGCTCAGAAACCCTCCTGAAGACTAGTCACTATACTTGCTTTGCCTGACATTAACCATCTGTCCTAAACAGTTGGTCAGTTTGGTTTTGTAGTTGAACAACTACATGTGGGTTGCTTAATGCTCCCAGTTTATTTTTACAAAGAATAGACAATTCACCTGAATACTCTTTCCAGGGATGTAGCTGAACATGGCATTTGTACATACATTTGCCATGCTGTTGCCCACCACCCAACCTCAACCGCACTGTTCCCATGATGTTCCAAATTTGGCCTGTCATTACATATAGTGCATACAAATATAAAGTTAAGAAAAAGGTATGAGAAAAGAAAAAGTGCAATCACGCTATAAGAAATGTTAACATTGTATGCTATAGCTTACATGGCCTACTTAATCCTCTCAGAGACATTATGGTGTAAAGATCAAATTTGGCCCTCATTCAATTGCACGGCTCCCACTGATGTCAAGTCAGTCAATGATATGCAGCACACGGAAATCAAAAAGTTGTTTTTAAATGTCAAAATCATGGCACAGATGCAGTTTTCCTGGCACTATTCCTCAGCCTGACCAGCATGTCTATTCTGTTTCATAGGGGCCACCTAAAATGTAAGAGCAGTAAACAGCTTCTCCCTTTGGGCAAAATCCTCCTCTCAGATCCAAAGGTAGTCTCTAGTCTGATATACTGTTCTTCCAAAATGTAATGAAATCAGATACCAAGGTGCTCATATTCTATGGTGATGAGCTCAGAATAAATATCTAGATAAAAATTGATTAGACAGACACTCTAGAATCAAGTGGAGATCTGCCATGCAGCTCCAAGAGTGGAATTGTATTCTTAGTTTCCTAATACAAAATAAATCTGACAAAGGTAGTTGAAGCATCAGTGGGGTTGAGGTCTGGTAGAAGAGAAAGTAATGCTGAACAAACCTGCAATCACTAGAACACTTTACGAAGAAAAAGCAAGCTGCTTTTAAACTTCAGAGAAGTGCCATGGGAGAGTAGTTTTGTATTCTGCTTTATTCAGGTTCTTAAACCGTGCCCATTACTATGGTGTCTGAATGCCTTATGATACCTGTAGTCAATCATTTGGCAGAGCTGGGCTCCTCAGCTGAAGTGCCAAACAAATGAGGCAGGAAGTCAAAAGACACAGAAGATGGTAGAGGTGGTGAGAGGACAAAAGATTCTGGCAAGAAAGACTAATCACATTTACAGGAGACAGAAGTAGTAAGATTATAGAAGCAAGAGGTTTAGAGAGGCCAAGGGAAGAAGAAGGATGATGTAAGTAATAGACGAGACCAGTGGTTCTCAACCAGGGGTACCTGTACTCCTGGAGGTACACAGAGGTCTTCCAGAGGGTACATCAACTCATCTAGATATTTGCCTAGTTTTATAACAGGCTACATAAAAAACACTAGTGCAGTCAGTGCAAACTAAAATTTCATACAGACAACAACGTGTTTGTACTGCTCTATACACTAAAATGCAAGTACAATATTTATATTCCAATTGATATATTTTATAATTATATAATAAATATGAGAAAGTAAGCAAATTTCCAGTAATAGTGTACTGTGACACTTTTGTATTTTTATGTCTGGTTCTGTACGCAAGTAGTTTTTAAGTGAAGTGTAATTTGGGGGTACACAAGACAAATCAGACTCCTGAAAGGGACACAGTAGTCTGGAAAGGTTGAGAGCCACTGGACTAGACAGGCTAAAATAGAACAGCAATTAACATAATGGTACTCATATTGGAATTTAGTGCTGCTAATTTTGAATACTCATATTTACTGAAGTATGGTAACCTAGGTTGAGATTTTCAAAGCCAATTACGGGATTAGGACAAATCTTCCATTAATTTTAATTCATTTTAATCATTCCTTGATTTTATCCGTGTTCAGTGCCAAGAATATGATTTCTTCAGTTTCCTGGACAATTACATTATAGGTCTCTTCTTAATTGTGGTAATCGCTCAGTTCAGTTTCTTGAGCTACCTAGATATTTATTTCATTTTTTATTAATATTATAACATTGCAAGTTCATATTGCTTTGTGTGATAAATTTTTCACTCAATATTTAAACAAATCGATAAAAGCAGTATCTATGTGTAAGAAATTATGTCAAAGATGTAAAAGGGTGATTCTAATTCATATTACAGAATCTCAGTTAAAATGAATGGGATTGCATGTCTAAATCTCTTAGATTGTTTTGAAAATCTTGACCCTGGTTTTTATGGAGGATAGGTCCATTAATGGCTATTAGTCAGGATGAACAGTGATGGTGTCCCTAGCCTGTTTGCCAGAAGCTGGGAATGGGCGACAGGGGATGGATCACTTGGCAATTACCTGTTCTGTTCACTCCCTTTGGAGCACCTGGCATTGGCCACTGTCAGAAGACAGGATACTGGGCTAGATGGACCTTCAGTGTGATCCAGTATGGCCGTTCTTATGTACTTATGTCATAAAAATGAAGGTTTTACTCATTATATTCCTGTCTAATAATAATGCAATGTAAAAGCAATAGCCTGTACAGCAGAATCAGGTGAAGCCAAGAATAATTGTTTCATGCTCCATGACTTTGCACTGTTTATGAGTGACAGATGTGTTTATTCCATGATGCACCCAGGGGTACTGTGGCTAAATATATGCTAATATACAATCAGACCAATTTAAAAAAAAAAAGAAATTTCTAAATGCACAACTTCAATTTAACATAAAGACAAAGTGATTTTCTAAACCCATATTACTTTTCATTTTTCAGCAGACTTGTTTCTTGAATGGCATAGGAGGTGGACAAAGATAAAATTGACCTTTGGACAGAGAAAGATTAATGAAAAGGCTCATTTTTCAGTCCATAAATTAAGAAGAATCATTAAAATTCTTGAGGCAAAGGATGGTCTTAGGGTTAAAGTGCAAAATTAGGAATTTGTTTATCTGTACATTTTTAGTATGTTCATCATCACTGTAGTATCTAAATATTTTGGGCAAAACCCTGACCCCACTGAAGTCCATGAGAATTCTTCTGTTGCCTTCAGTGCGGTCAGGATTTCAACCGTCTGGCCCTGATTTTATCTTCAAGTTGGCATAAATCAGGAATAATGCTACTGAAGTCAAAAGAAGTATAGCAGTGTAACATCAGAGTAAACAGACAAAATCAGGCTCCTAGGCAGGAGACCGTAGGCTCTTGTCTCATTTCTGATTCTAACTGCCAAAGTAAATAATTTCATTTCTTTGTGCTTTAGTTTTCCTACATGTAAATGCCTATCTCACAGGGATGTTTTGAGGAATATTTCATTAACATTTGGTAAATTGCTCCAAGACTCTCAGGTAAATATTACACTAAAATAGTCATTTCATCCAGTGTGTGAAATCCTTTCCCT